GTTGAAAAAAAATTGAGAATCGCTGGGTTAGAGCAATGTATACGATTTTAAAATACTTAAAAATCAACATTAAGTAGCGAATTTCTTAAACTCATTTCAGTGAATAATATGAAACATCAAAAAATATTTAATAATATTACACAAAACACTAGGAAGGGCACTCTCAGAACTGAGCAAAAATCTGATATTATTTAACTCTTACCTTTACCCCAAAAATGCAGTTACTAGAATTTGCAACTGGACGACTTCTGTCATAAAAAAGCCATTCACTAATATTTATTTTTCATTTAATGAATAAAATAATCTATTATGTAAATTAAACATTAAATTAATTAGTTTTTAAAAATCTTTAACTTTTTGAAAAATATTTTCTTATAAACTGAAATTGACTCATATTTTTTCCAGGTTTTGAAAATGTCATCTGTTAGTATAAAGAGAAAGGAAAGTATATTTATATGTTTAATATTTGTGCTAAATGTGATTTCCACTGTGAGTGAAGAATCTAGAAATTGTTTAAATGAACCCAATATCTTTTCAAAAACTCTACTTTCTCTATCATCTCGATTAATAAATGAAATCGACGAAAATGATAATTTTATTATATCACCTCTAAGTATTTCAGCTGCATTGGGCATGATTTATATTGGAGCAGATGGATTGACCAAGACTCAAATAAGCAATGCATTACACTTCAATCTTTTAAATCCATCAGACATTTTAGAAGGTTTTCGAACTTTATTTAGTTCTTTGGAAAAAGAAAATGACATAATTTCACTCTCTCTAGCAAACAGCTTATTTATTCAACGAGGCTACCATATATCTCAGATTTACAAACGCAAAGTGCTAGAGTATTTTGAAGCGGAAATAATCTACGTGGATTTCGCCAATGAAGAACAAATATCCATGAATACTATTAATCAATGGATATCTAACAAAACAAACTCTCATATGAAAAAGCTTTTAAATGAACCTTTAGATCCAATGACACTTATGGTTCTTACAAATGTTATATACTTCAAAGGATTATGGGAACATCCCTTTTATGAATTGTGGAATAGTTTCTTTCATAAATCAAATGGAACATCAAAAATAGTACCATTTATGAAACAAGAAGAATATTTTGGATATTTTTACGATAATGAACTTAATTATTCCTTCTTAGAAATGGATTACATGGGTGGAAACATTAGCATGTTATTGATTTTACCAAAAAACATGCGAGAAATACCGAATTTTCAACTAACTTCTATTTGTAGAATTCGAAGCAAACTAGAAATGCGGCGTGTTATGGTTGGATTACCTCGATTTCAACTAGAATATCGAAGAGAACTTTCGGAAGATATGAGAAAATTTGGAATGGTTAAGCTATTTTCTGATCGTGCTGATCTTACAAAAATCAGAGAGCAAAATGACCTGCATGTATCACTCATGCTACACAAAGTTATGATTGAAGTTGATAATGAAGGAAGTAGAGCATCTGCAATAAGTGGTATTGGTATCGATTCCAGGAAAAGGCCAACACATGAAGAAACTTTCTGGGCAAACCACCCATTTTTGTTTTATATCATTGATAAAAGAACAGAAACAGTTTTGTTTGCTGGGCGAGTCACAGACCCATAAAAATTATTTAAATTTTATCAAAAATATTCAACTAAAACTACTTAGTGAACAAAGTTCTATGAAACTGTCATAAATGCATTTCTAAGACTATAAATTAATCCCACGTATTTCGTTTCACACTATTTAAAAAAGAACAGAAAAAACTTTGTTTGCAGGTTAAGTATTTGTAAGAAATTTTAACTTCGACCAAAAATATAAATATACGTGTACAGTTGGTTACATCAACTGCCATAAATGCATCTTGAAAACTGGACACATATGGGACAGAGTCGATAAAAGCAACTGTAATCCGTAAATTTGAAACAGACTGGATCAAGTAATCAATATAAAGTGGTCAAAAAAAATTTTCATATCTGAAATGAAGAACATGTTATGTTAAATAACAATTAATGAATTTGAAAATATTCTTAGCTATAGAAACATTTAGACACTTCCAACAAGATATCTTTTCTCTTGAAAATGAACATAAAGACTTGAACATGGCAAAAATAGTTTATTATGTTTTATATTTGCATGCCAGCAAGATTGGACAGTGTTTTCAAAATGTCACTAAGTATGTACTTAGTGACAATGTTTTCAATTGTGTGATTAGTTAGAATGATCTAACAGCAAATGCAAATTTACCTCTTATGTGTAGTTTTGCGTCCCAATTATGTGTCCATTACCTGTTTTTAGTCATCTGAAATAAATATATTTTAAAGATTGCTTGTTTTCATTGGAACTAATATTTCAAAGTTCAGGAAGTCCAAGTTAGTAGGTAGGAGAAGGGGTTTAAAGTGATCCTCTTTTAAACTACAGATTTTTATTAGACAATTTAAAAAAACAATTGACTTGAAAAATTTCACATAAGTACTTTGAGTATATAAATCACTAATATTCTTTGATGTTCAATTATAAATTCCCTTTTAAGAATAATTCTTAGCTTCAGAATGAGTAGAAACATTTAAACACTTTTAACAAAATTTTTTCTCTCTTGAAAAATTAACATAAAAACTTGGACTGGGCAAAAATAGTTTGTTTTATATTTGCATGCCAATAAGACTGGACAGTGTTTTCAAAATGTCAGTAAGCATGTACTTCTATGTTTTTCAATTGTGTGACTAGTTATAATGATTTAACAGCAAATGCAAATTTATGTCTTACATGTAGTTTTGCGTCCCAATTATGTGTCCTTTGCCTGTTTTTAGTCATCTAAAATAAACATCTTTTAAAGATTGCTTGTTTTCAGTAGAACTAATATTTCAAAGTTCAGGAAGTCCAAGTTACTAAGTAGGAGTCCTTTTTCAAACTACAGATTTTTATTAGAAAATCTAAAAAATCAATTGATTCAAAGAATTTCCCATAAGTACTTTGAGAATACAGATCTCAAATATTCTTTGATGCTCAATTAGGAATTCCCTTTTAAGTATAATTCTTTGTAGCTTTTTAAATTAAAGATTGATATTTAAACCTTAAAAAAAGGTGATTGACTAAAATAAATTTTATATAGATAAAAACTTTTTCTTTCATTCTATTTTAATTTTTATTGTAGTACACATTTATAAAGCAGTTGGAATAGAATTTTTTTCTCATTGACGATTTAATAGTTAGAAAGCTAGATTCAAAATAAGTTAGTATTTTTGAAAAGATTTAAAACAACATTCACTTTTGAATCAATTTTTTTTAAATGTAATAAAAAAAAAGAATTGTAATAAACATATAATGGTAAAGAAGTTGTACTCTGTGCTCTAGTTAGAAATGAGCGATCTAAACTATATTTGTTATATTTTTTTATTTTACAAGTAAATGAAATTTTAAACGATTTATTTGTAAATGACTTTAAATTTGTAAGTTGGTGCTTTTTTATACAATAATCAATATATAAATTCTAATCAGCAATATTTTGTTCATGTATTTGAAAAAAGTTACATAAAATGATCAAATTCTGAATTAACCATGAAACGTTTAGGATGGTAACATATTTATTATAGCATTAATATTTTAAATGTACTGAATATTATATATATAACTGAAATATTCAAATCAATATTTTGAAAATGTGGTCTACTGTTGTATTTGCGTTGATTGTGGTTCACTTCTCTATGCACTAATACTTGTGTAGGAGAAAGCTTTTTGTTGTAACATAAAGATTATTGCCATGTTAATAGTTACAATAAAAGCACATTTGAACAAAAATTTATTTAATTATAATCGAATAAATGGTTGTTAGTCCCTTGACGTTTTTAAGTATTTTTATAATTTTTTTGTAAAATAATAAGCAGTGGATCTTAATTCTAACAGTATTTAATCATTGTTAAATGAATTATTTGATCTGATAAAATCTTGTACGCTTCTAAATCTGCACACACTGGGGAGGGCAATTTAAACACGTAACCAGTGCCTATAAACAGCGTTACTGAAAAAGTGGGATAAACAGTCCCAGGAAATTATAAATTGCCTCATTTTCAGGATGAAATTCTGGTGCAAGACCTGTATGGGGAGCTGTACCCCCATTAAACTGTTTTTATTCAATTCTATAACCACTCTTTGATACCATTGGACTCTAAGAAGGTTATGCATGATCTTGCGCATGTAGTATAATTGTTATGGAATGGTTGTTATTTTTGTATTACATCAACCTATAATTTCAAACCAAATTTTATTAAAATCTGTCCAGTAGTTCTGGAAATAATTGACCAATTAGAAAAAATTTGTTAATTTTGAACCCCACTGCGTATACATATATATATTCTATGCAAAATCATTGAGTTAATTGTATTAAAATTAATAAAATATTATATTTTCATAAAATAGTTTAGTTATGTACACTGATAGTTTTGCCATGTGTAAATTCAATTCGGGCAAATGGGTAGCTAAAAATTTTATAACTGATCAACAACATCCTCCAATAGTCAATTAATTCAATAAATGTTAATAATTTCTATGAAAATCATTGAATTAAAATGTATTTAAAACTTAACCTTTTATTAATTATGAATTTTAAGTAATCAAATATAATAAATTACCTTGTGCAAATCTAGTTTTAAAGCCCAGTTCAAAGTAGTAGAGAAATCAAATGCAGTTAAGTTCAGTATGAATGTGCCTTAAATATGTATTCCACTACCCTCTGTTTACTCTTTAATTAGATATTTCGACAAATTAAAGTGTAAATAGAGGGTAGTGAATCTGGCAACTTAGAGATGAAAATATTTTTTGCTAGTTATTTGTAAGCATCCTTTCTCCATTTTTTGCTACATATTAAAATAATTATGAAACCTTTAATAGGTTTTGAAAGTCTTATAAACTATATATCACAATTCCATTGAAAAAAGGCAGTATAAAAAAAAATTCAAAATGAGAGTGGAGATATAAAATCAGTAAAAAGAATGAAAAAAACCAAACAAGAGCAAATATTTTTTTTATTTAACAATAAAAAATATGAACAAAAGAATGATGTTAGTTGTTTGAAGCAATTTTGATATTAAAAAGCAACATAATTAGATTACCTATTATCTGACAAAAGGAAAAAAAGATTGAATATTTTCTTAAAAATAAATACCATATAAAGTAAGATAAAATTTGCATACAACTATTCAGCTAATTGATTAATTTTTTTTTGTTTGCAATTTGGAAAACATTATAAAAGAAACAATTCTTTGTTTCTCTTCAACTGAGTATACATTTTTCGACTTTAAATATGGGTCTTATCCTCTAATCGTGCTTGTCTCATGAAGTTAAGAATCATATTTTGATAAGGAATTTTCAATTTTGTATATTTTAAGATAATAAAATAATCCCGATAAATACACAAGCTGTAACTCTCTTGTTAACTTTATCACTGATAATTTTTATTTGAGATTTTTATAGATAACTATTATAAATAAGAGTAAAACTCACAACTAAAAAAGTTAAAGATCGAAATTATAGCCAAGAGTTTTAAGAAATTATTTCCTTTAAGTAAGATGAAATTCATGCAAAAAATTTTAATATTTTGGAAAAGTTGTAATTAAACTAAATATTATTTCTATTAACCTAATGTAGATTATGATTAGATGAATGACAGGAAAAGAAACAAAAGCATGTTTAATGCATTAGTAACTTTGATGTAAACAGATTGAAAAAATAAATTCTGAAATGGACAAAATTATGCTTTTATATATATATGTCCTAATTACTTCAATTATTAGATATATGCACAATATACATAGAAGTAAGCTCATTCCTTAAGTGCTATTTAAAGTACAACATTTTCAGTGAGAATACTTTACAAGATCTTCAGAATCAAGAAATTATTTGGCTTTCGCATAGGCACACTAATATAAGCAGTTCTGAAGTCAAACAGAGTTACTTTGATAGTTGAAAGAACATAAATAATGTGAATTATAGTATTTTAAAACCATTCACAAATGTAATAATTATCATAAATATTTCATAACACCAAGAATTACACATGGAATTTAATATCACAACCTTTAAGATATAACTCTAAAATTTCAAACACTTTTAAACAAATATTACCATGACCATTACTTTATAAGACACTACATAAAATAATGCATATTTGGAATATAAAAAATAATGATAGATAAATATTTATTTAGTTGTTGCAGATAATATAGATTTCTTTCCAACAATTGACAAAATTATTAATAAAGCATTATAAGTTGATAGGTTACATATTAACCAAAATATATATAATACACTAATTTGCTTTAATATTTTTATAACAATATATTATTGAACAATATTTTTCGTATTAAAAATATTAATCTTTCCACTGGGTCTATTTTTCATAAACATTTCCGGAGTTTCAATATTATCTTTTCGATCATACCATTGGTCTCTAAATAGTAGAGCTTTAACCTTTTGGCCAAAAACTGGCTCTAGAGAAAATGTTTGGCGTTTAGCAAAAAAAAAAAAAAACTTTTATCATAAGAATTTTCTGAACATGTCTTGCAAATATTGGCCTTGAAAGATATGCTTCAGGTTAACGTAGTTTATCATGAGTTGTTAACACAAGAAACAGTTAGTTGGAAACTGCAGATGCAGATCAAAGACTACTACTGAACTTTCTTTCTCATAATGGCTTCTATTTTTCATAGGAATTCTAAGATCGTTAGTATTTTTACTGATTTATAAGTGGTTAATTTTTAAACACGGGTTTTGTGTTAGTGAAGTGCTTTTTTTTTTAAAGAATAAAAATCTAAACTTTTTACCATGAGTTTTATATGATGCTATTTTGAATTATCAAGGAAATTTAGAATGGTAATATTTTTATTAAAACCTTAATCTTTTTTACCATTTAGAAAATTGATTAAATTGTTCTACTTATCATGTAAAAATAGTATCAACTAAGGTTCCAATATTTTGCAATAATATGCAGTAGCAGTGGCACTTTGTTTACGCCACACTAGAGCTGCACAACTGGCTATTTTTGACGGTCTGGTAAACATCCCTGCGAATGATCCAAAGACATGCCATCCCAATTTTGATCCCTTGAAGAGGGAATGGCACCCCTGCTTTGGTAGCTTGATAATTTGTGTGCTAATTTAAGCATTTTACAATAGAATAGTTTAATGAGGACCAATACCACACACCCTTGGTTTCTTTGCATGCTGATCAAAGTGGACAATCACCCGCTCACTGACCGCTACCAGTGAAGCTTGACTTTGGTGATCTACTGGGAACCAGTTCTTACCATCCCCTATATAGATTTTGCCACATTACAAATAAATTCAACGTTTTTCAAGGTTTAGCAGTTTTTGATAAACAATACTATTATAATATCTGCAACAACAATTCAACAGGAAATAAGTTTATATAACCAAAATATGCATTAGAAATATCACAGCATTCCAAAAAAGATAAGACAAATGCAGATGTATAAATATAGTTGAATGACCAAAATAATTCATCTTCAATAATTTTAATTACAAAAATATTTTTTAATTCATAAATATTGTTTATTAAAAGTAACTTATTTATGAAAGGAATAAGTTTTGGAGGGCAAAAAATTCTTTTATTTCAAATTATCCCAATAAATCAGCAATTGCATAAAAATAAAATGCTTATTAACTCTCAGAATTCTTGTGCAACACAACAATTTGCAAATTTAACAATGTTAATGCAAAATACACAAAATGGTTAAATGTATAGGATTTGGTTATAAGAAATATTTATATGTTAAATGAAGTGTAATTTTTCCCAACTAAATATATACTATTCTTAAGATTAAAGAACTCTGATTTAATAAACAAAAAAATGTTAATTGCATAACACAAAAATTGTTTTTATCTTTCATTACCAATAATAGAGATCATTTGAAATAATTTAAAATGAAACTTTTTTCATTGAAAATGGACAAAAAAATATTTTTCTTCATATGATAGTAAAGAAATAAACTCATTATTTAATAATAAAATAAGCATATATATGCTTGAGGGCTTATTTAATAAGTACATACCATCATTACACCTGTTTCTATTTTATATAAGAGCACTTTCCAAACTTTCTAGCAGCACTTTACAGTACATATATCATCTCTCACATTAAGTCTTTTACTCCATAGTTTATATTTTCAGATAAGCAGTAAATTCTCAAATTAAAACATTAAATATAAATAAAAAAAGTCATCATTGTTTAGAACAGTTAAATATCTATTACACACATTAGTTTTGCTACTGTACACAGTATTTTGTTTCGATAAATATAGTACTGGATAGCTAAAAATATAGGCAATTGGCTACTGTAGTAAAATGGTTGCCATGAATGAAATCGATATTTAACTATAATCAACATATTTTTAATTGCATATTACGTTAAAAAAAGATAATAAGCTCTAATATTTTTGTTGTATTTATTGCAAAGCATAGAAATTAAAAGAAAAAGCCTAAAGCTATAATATTGACATACATCATAGACTATGACATACAAGCTAAAAATAAACAAACTTTTTATCATACTTTAATGATTCATCTTGATAGAATCCCGCATTAATTAACTTTTATTAATATTCTTATTTCAAAACAAATTTTTGTACATGCAATCAACTAATTGATTGTAAGAGTTATTTTTTGTAAATATTTGTAAAATAACTAAACAAAACCAGAATAAAATAACATCCATCTATTAGCTTACGTTAATAAAAAGTGACTTACTTACGTAACAACAAAATAAAAGTGAAATTCTAAATGTATATTTTAAAATTCTACTCAAAACAAAAAAATTCTAATAAAAACAAGAAATATTTTGCATAAACACAACCTTGCAGTAACAGTAGAGCTATAAACAATGAATTCCATAACACATTGCACAGACAAAAAGCACTAAACTAAGCAGATCTAACAATAAGTACAGCACAAACATTCTCCTGAATTATTAGATATTCATTGGCAGATATCAATAATAAATATGGTAGTAATTCCAGATATAAGTAGCTACCATTTTAACTAAAAATCCAATTTATCATCAAGTGTTGCATGAATCCAAGTACCTCAATTTCAGGTATCCAAGACCCTTATATTTGGCAAAAATTATTTACATATAATATTCAGGGGAGTATACTTGTACTAATTACAAAGAGCATAAAATTAAAAAATATTTATTGTCAAAATAAATTACCATAGTTAGCAAAATAGCTTGAAGCACCAGTCAGACATAAGTATTGCAATGTGGTCTTTGAACGAGTGTATTTGCAGACAGAACTGCATACCAGCATTCTTCTTGAGCAATTTCTTTTTTTTTGTTGAGATTTCTGGCTCAGCTATAACCAAATAAAATTCAATATCTATTTATTCTTTCTTTTTCTTTCTATTCTATCAGAAAGAAAAGATTTTGACTCTTCTCAACCATCTTCAAGTACTTTTTTTCTGCATTTTTCTGATGATTCTTTTTATTTTCATCAGTATTATCATCTGGTAAGTATAAGACAGCATGGCGTCATCCATAAATGGCTAAAAAATTCTGATTTGTTGCAGAAGAATTATTATTCAAAGTAGCCTATTTTTCCTTCCTAATATACATCTACATTTTCTTTGATAAAATTTTACTTCTAAACATTTTATTTACTAAAACATGAATTAGATAGTCAAATTTTTACAATTTAACAATATGACAAATTTTGAATGGGAAAAAACTCTATCTCTTTTCTGCATCATTACATTAGTCAATTTTTTAAGACGTATAGTAGAGAGATAATATGTTAGAAAGAACAATAATTTATAGATGATGAGCAACATGAACTTATTCACAGTTTGTTCTGTATGCCTTTGCAACACATAAAATCACTGATTTTTTTCATTTATGTCCTAAGCAAAAATATTTTTATTTCTGTTGTTCACAATTTTAACTCGTTTTTCTCAATTTTGATAAAGAAGTGGGGTTTAACTTGGTCTCTTTGTAACTCATATAACCCACATATTCTCATTTTTTTCATGTATTAAACGTGCACAAAGAAATGATATGTTTTTTTTAGATATTTCAGCAATGTTCAATGATTAAAAGTCAATTTCACTTTTATAAAATGCGAAGAGAAAAAAAACAAACAAGGAAAGACTATTAGCATCTTAAGTAAAGCCTTTCTGCAACAGCCTGTTATAGACCAGAGAGATCATGGAGGATAGGGCTATTCAATTTCACAACCAACAGCATGATGGTGGAAATGTAAGCAGCATTGCAAACAGACCACTTTTACTTTCCAAACAAGCTAGTACCTGTCTATCTAAAGTTGGGTGGGTTTTAAGCTGCCACTGAGGATTGATTCTCAGTATATGGAAGTAAAATGACAGTTATGTGCATTAACCACTGAGCCATTACAGCTCAGAAAAAAATTTATAAATGATAAATTACATTAAAAATAGTTAGAACATGTTAATAAGAAAATATAATATAAAAAACTATAATATAAATCCCTATTTTAACATCCTAATATATAATTTCCTTTTTTAAGAAATTTACAATATGGTTTTCTTCTTACTTAAGTTACGTACATATTTGATCATTTTAAAATTTTTATGAGCAAAATGTTTCAGATTTACAAGCTTTTGCTAATAATTAATTATAACATTTCCAAATAATGTTGTCAGTTTTTTTATCATGAAACATTTTTGCACATAAAATACACAAAATACTAAGTTTTTGCTGATTTTGTTGTCAAGTAGAATAAAAGTTATTTTTCTTTTTATAAAGCTGCCAATAAATATAGAATAATTCAACACAATGCAAAAGACGAACACTACCAAATAAATGCAAAGTAAAATGGCAAAGCTAGTAAAAGTATCAACTTAAGGCAATGTTTAATTTCAGTTAAAAGAGTTCATTAAGTGAATTTATTTGAAAAATATATAAAGGTAAATAAACAATGGCATTTTAATATTGATACCATGGCTGTTTCCTGATCCAACGAACCCGTATTCCAGAATCAGTGCGAATTTTTATAGATGCAGCTTCACAGGCACGGACTGTTTCTTTTACAGACTGCATTAAGTTTTGTGCATTTCCAACTAACATTTCTGTAGCTTCTAAATCTTCATCCGTTCCTGAAAATAAATCAAGCTATTGAACTAATACGTAGAAAGTTAAATTAAAAAAACTAAATGCTATAAAATCATGTTCCATAAACAAATTAATGCCATTCAAACAGCTAAAATTGTTTTTAAAGTGATAAGAAAACAAGGTAATATGAAAAGTAAATTTAATCAGACTGTTTCCAGAAACAATAAAACTAAAAAAATGTAGCTGCAGGAGCAATGATAATACACAGATGTTTAAGGATGCTTATAAAAAGTTTTTCATTTAATACTTTTCGATTACGATAATATATTTAAGAAAACTGCTACAATGCTGAAAACTAAAAAAGAAAGATTTTATTTTACACACGGAAAACAAATATTAATCATAAAAAGCCCAATGCAATTTGATCTGAAAAGATAGATTAGTCAAAGTAGCTATAAGCAAATATTATGGAGACACAACATTTAAAAAAGATTTACTTTTTTTATGGATATCATTAAAATTAAACACATTACTGATTTTAAAAAACACAGATTTGTGAAAATAGTAATCTGATATGCCAATTACTAATATTTTTTAGTTTTACTAAAAATGAAAAAAAAGTAAGAAGAAAAGCTCTAACTTATGGCTAAAGCTCAATATATATCAATTCAAATAGATCTGGTTTTAAGGTAGCTACATAATTTTTAACATTAAAGAGACAATTTTTTGTCAATTATAACTAAATCCACTGAAACATTTGTGCACTGCAGAAGAAAGAGAAAATACACATATAGCATTTAGTTTATAATAAGAGCATTCAATATTTAGGAACTGCATTTTATACTAAAAATTTAAGATAGTAGCTATGACCGAAAAAGTAAGCCATAAGCTAAACACAGTTGTCTATCTTTATTGAGGCCACTAGCCCAAAGCTGTATTGGAGAATGTTGAACTTTTGAGGAAAATTAATGAACAATACAAAAAAGCCCAAAGTTTATAATATGAAAATTCAATGTTTGGAAACTGAATTTTCTTCTAAACAATTTAGATTGTATTTATGACCAGGCAAAGAAAAAAAAAGAGATGAAGATTAATGAAATTGAGAGTTCTCTCATTATTATAGCCACCAGGCAGAGTATGCATTAGGTAATGCTGTACTTCAACATTTATGCATGCAGAGGAAAGACAAAGAACCAATCAATAAAAATAGTGTATATAGTTTATAATAAGCCTTCAATATTTTTAAACTAAATTTTTTCTTAACATTTGAAGTGGCAGTCATAATACTACAAAAAAGATAGCCATTTAACTAAACACAGTGGTCTCTCAGTATTGTGTCATTCAGCAATATTTATCATCTTAAATGAATAAAGTAAGGTATTTCTGACAGATAAGACCCATGAGCTTTGAAAACAAGCTGAACTTTGCATACTAACATAAAACTTTAGCCCAAGTAGCCAAATCACAAATTTAACAACATTAATTACAAATTATGAATTAAATATAAATTCAAAAATATCTTTATAAACTTTTTCATAAATCTAACATTAAGTTATATGACTCTTTTGTTACATAATTCAAAATATCATTACTTATTGACCTTTCAGTTCAAGTTATTTATTAAAAGTCAATCTGAAGATTATTTCATTTTAAGTTATAATTTAGTTTATTTTTAATTAAATTGTTTCACTAATTAGAAATGCAAATAATATTAAAACACTTACAGTAATTTATTACTTTTAATTTCACTAATTAATGTAAGTAATTTCAAAATTCAGTGATTATTGAATAGTTGATTGAATTAAAATCATTTTAAATTAAGCATATAAAAAAAACTTCAAATGTTTGTAGCAACTAACATTCCTCATAGAAGATTTCATCTTTTAAAAATAGGTAAATAAGCAATTGACTCCCAATAAACACTAAGAAAATTTCATGAAAAGAAAATTCAAATAATCAAGATTTTTTTCTTTATAATATTATTTAAGAGTCCTAAAAATTCTGAACCAACAAATCAGGTAAACTAAATAAGATACTTAAATCACTTTTGTATAATTTGTAGACTAGTTCAAAGTATCAAATATTTACAATCTTAGAATTGTTAATTAAGTGCTATGATTGAAGTCTGTTAAAAAACAGGACAAAAATGAAAATCTCTTGGAAAGTAGTCTGTCTTGAAAGTGAAACTTTTTCCCCCAAAGGGAATTTTTTTCTTCCCACTAATAAACATTTTCCAGAAGAGCATTTATGAAAAGCAAATACTAATTTTATTTATTAAAAGTTTAATTTATCTGAAATGTTAGGACCATACTTTTCATGAATATTATAAAATATAATGTTTATAACTAATATATTGCTTAATATGTAAAATTTTTTTTACGTAAAACACATAAGACTAGCACATAATATTCAATTATTTGATTGAAAAATCAAAAGTAATAGCTTGCTTTATGATACATGAAAAATATGAAATATAAAGTCAAAATAAATATGACAATTCAGAAAATTTTTCAAAAAATTATACTTTTTTCTATGTACTTTTTGTTTAAAAAAATAATATAAAAAAATGTTAAATTGTTACTAGTTTAATAAATGTGTATGAAAGATACATAGAATTTAAAAAGTTTTGAAAATGTAGATTTTTTTTTAATGTACCAAAACATGTTGATACAAAGACATAAAAAAAGAAATGCAAATTTATGGTGACCAGTGAAAATAAACACGTTTTCTAATAGTAAAGAATAATGAAATAAATTTTTTATGTCTAAAAACATTTTTTTTAAAAAAGGGTTCTTTGAGGAGAAAACGAAGTTTTTTAAGAACAATATAAATAGGAGAACTGTCTTAAATTCATTAAGAGATACTATTGTAAACTGATTTTCATTTAATCACAAAACTTTATTTTGTTTGTTGATAGTTTAATTTTTGGAAAAAATATATTTTAAAAACGTTTTCTTCTAAAATACAGAAACAAAGCAACAAAAAATATTCTTAACATTTTCCACAAATAAATGTTTTGTGTAAATTATAAAAAAGTGTCACACATAAAAAATTATTAAATTAGTATGAATCAGTCAAGATATAAGAAACCATTTCACTTCTAATTTTTTTGCTATTTTAGTACCAAATTGCAAATGAATGGCTATTTTATTGCAGCAATTTTCATTTTTTTTAAAAACTAAAGGAAAAGAAGAGTTAATAAACATTATGATAAAGTATAGAAAAAAATATTTTTACCCTGTCCAGCAAGCATAGTGGCTTTAACAGTTGATAAAATTCGGAGCTGAGTACCAATCGTAGGGATACGTTCACATACTTGCAAGATGTTCTAATAAAATAATATTTATTATATATTATATATATAGTTTTTACAATATTTATTATATATTATATATATAGTTTTTACATAGACTACAAAATACAGACAAGTAATAAGAAAGTCAAATAATTATCTTAACAATTTTAAAAACGGGACAAAAATTAAAAAAAAAATTATAATAAAGTGTCTTTTTTAAATATTAAGTTGTCCCAAAAACTAAATACAAAATATAATGTAAATATAAGCAATGGGCTTAATTCTATAACATATTTATAGCTGCAAATGAACACTGAATAATCCTTCAAATGATTGCTGATTAATTCCAATTATTTTATTATGTTTATATATTATGCAAAATTTATTCAACATAATATTTCAAATTCAAAAACATTTAAATTTCCTAAAAAATGATGTAAATTATAAAATGGAAAGCAATTTTTTTTTATTTAGTAGGTTATGCCAAAATGTCAATATTTTTAACTTTTGTTTTCATCAGTTATTTTAGTTAATTTACTTGCTTTCTTGGGTTTTCATATAAATAATCACAATTATCACACTTTTAAATTAAATCATAGGATTTCAAAAGAGCAATTACACGGAAGCTCATAAATTCTGAAAAGAAATGTAAATTACCTGATTAGCTTTAATTTTAGTTGCTTATTTAACAAGTTTATATACATATATTAAAGTTCAGCTCGTGAGTAGTGAGAAAGTCAGGTCATAGTGCTTTTACACTAGGTTATGTTATCAGACTTATTTCATTCATGATGTTTGTCAGTAAAACAAAAAATTATATATGTGTGGCATCATTATGAGTTCAGCTTTTATTTAATTTGGTTCTGTGGCTTTATTGCAGTTTAATTTTCTGACTGCCTGTTTCACTTCTTTTATTGCTGGTAAGTAGTGATAGTCAATATCAGGATTAGTTATCTAAATTGCTGACATGATTTTCCTCTACATTTGAGTATCTTTTCTTTCATGTTGTTCATTAGAAAACTCTCATCCTTCTAATATTGACTAGAGAGCTCAATATTCCTTTTTACTACAAGTAATGACTCCAGAGTTGAACTCTTGTTTTACAAATTTACGAGTTCATTACATTATTTTGTTTCCTTTCTTTTAAACATTCTCTCCCTGCGCCCTTAAATAAATGCTTATCTCTTCTTAGCTCCTTGTATAGTTCTGAAGTATTTTTAGTATGCTTTTGAATCATTACTTGTTTTTATCAGGTTTTAAAAATTATTTTAGTCTGCCCCACATTTCTTTAGTGCTTAAAATTTCTACCTATGAGTTGCTTACATTATACAGCAACATATATGCCAACCTGGAAGGTCACCTAATATTATACAATATTAAAAGCTGGGGCAAAATTATAATTAAGGAAAGCTTAATTTGATAAATTTGGCAAGTACTTAAAAACGTCCCTCCACGATTATCAGACCTTATGTAAATGTTTCAATTATTTATGGTCGTTGTAAATTAAATCTATTAAATCAAAAGTAAAATGGTAAGCATACAATTTACTATAGCTTTAATGACACATGAAAAATATCTTGCAAAAACAGGAGAAGTAGCCATGTATGTAGAAAATGTATATACTAGACATGTAGAAAAAAAATTGGTTTAATATTATTTCAAATTTTTTCTGCCTTGACATCAATTTACAACAAGTTCTTTTATTGTTACATTATTGTTACCAACAGTTGCAGTAGGTTGGGATGATCAAAAACCTATATGACTAAACTAGATGTCATCTAAACAATCAAATATTAAAAACTAATGGTCTATTTTTCTTATTACTTAATCAATGAAGCATTATTTTATGATTAAGTAATTTTGGACCGATTCAGCAATTTTCAGTTTCCTTCTGAGAAATTTAGTTTGACGCATTTACATATCAAATTCTGCATATAACCAGTAATTTCTGTAATATAGTAATTCTGTATATAATTCTCTATATATAATTCTCTGCATTCTCTATACAACAATACCCCAAACAATGATGTTTGGAATATTGTTCCATTTTGTTCAGTAATAGTCAACCTTTGTTCCGCTAAATTGGATTTTAGCTTCGATAGGTCGCATATTTGAGATTTGACGAATCTTCATTTTAAAAATTTAATGTATAAAATTTAATATTTTTCAAAAATATGTTCATCTCTTAAAGAGTGCCATTTTTAAATTTCAATAATTAAAATTTCCCTGGCAGTTTCTAAAATTCTCCCTTAGTTTTTAAAATCTGATATTTTTTCAGCCATAAATATTTAAGCCTAAATCAGAGAGTTATCTAATCATTTGAGTCACAGATTGTGAGTTGAAAACATGATTTTCAAATTCATATAATTTATTTAAAACAAAAATGTGTAACTTAAAAGACAGATTAAGCATCTACAGATGTTAAATTTGATAAATATTAATGATTGTAACTTTTACAGATGTTAAGAATGCTACAGTAACAGACTAACTTTGCAAAGCTGGAAAGAACAGAAAGTTTTTTAAATGAACATTAAGTTTTATAAGATTAAAAAAGTATATCTCAACAATAAAAGTTAAACTAAAATTTTGACATCTAAAGCGCAGATGTTTTAAGAAAATGTTCTTTAGTGCAGCTATATTCTTTAGTATAAATATCATCAAAATAGATATACAAACCGTTCTCATCCTCTTATCAGTACACATTCTAGCCAATTCTTTAGCAAGACGAGTAACTTCTTTGGAAGCTTCAGCTATATCTTTTGCACAAGCTATCAATTCCCTTTTTGAGCCCCCATCTCCTCTAAAATAAAAAATGAAGCAATTAACTTTACAATATAGTTCAAATTCTTAATATATGTTTCAATTCTCTGGTGGTCATGCTTCAAAATATATGCAAAATGGGCGATATTCTTCTTTGTATAGTAAAACCAGTTTACCCATGACATTAGATATGGAAAAGTTCGATGAGAGATAAACATTTACTAAATTTTGCCAATCAAGTTATAAACACCTTCAGGCAAAAAAGTTAAAAGATAACAAAAAACTAGAAAAAGGCAAACTCCATAAGATTATCGAAATATTACAAAATAAGAAATTACACAACAAAGTATGAATTTTTCAAAAAACAAATTTTCATGAATGATACATAGCATATTAAAAGAGTAAATTAAAATAAATTTTATACAGTGGCAGTTCTATGTGTTCCGTAGAAAATTAAACTACTATTATTTAAAAATGAAGTTTAAATTAATAAAAGTCACAAGTGTTTAAATGTGGGTTTCAAAAATCACTAAAATTAGTAATATTAATTATACCATATTATTACTATAATATGATATAATTTAATATTTAACTAAAAATTAATATTATTTAATATTTATTTAAAAATTAATATATTACCATATAAACAAATTAAAATTTAAAATGTGGCTAATGCAGTAGTTAAGTTATAGAAGATGTACTCTAAATCATGGAAAAGTATGAAAAATTGATTTTAAGATACATTGCAAAGGTGATAAATCAAAGAGCTTACTGTGTAAGTTGTGACAATTTTCCCATAAGCAATGCCATTTTCTTTGCAGCAGCAATTAGCTCATTATCTTTGCTTGAATACTGCCTAACTTCTTCATGAAGACCACGGGCAGCAACCTATGGGAACCAAGGTAAAACGTTTTAGAATTCAGTTGAAGGATTCAAAAGAATTAAAAACAAGGCAATAGTTTTTTGGGATGTCAGCAGAAAAATTATGGCATTTTTTCCCCATCTAAGAGAAGGAAACAGTGCATATTTAAACAATCATGCTACAGCAGTTTGCTGAACTTGGAAAAATAAAAAAGCTGAACTTTGCATGATGGCAAAACATCAGAAATAGTTTTTCAAAAGTACAAATTAAACTATAAGGAATTATGATTCTAAATAAAATATTAATTAAATAAAAAGATTTTTTTATAAACATTTTGAATTCAAATAAGACATTAATTATGAAATATTAATTAAATAAAATATTTCTATTTATAAACATTTTGAGTTCAAATAAGACATTTTAAACTCTAAAATTCATCTGTAAGTTGTTTGAAAATGCCCTTACTTATTAAAATCTCAATTTGAAAAATTTCTACCTAAGAGTCAATACTGATCAATTTAATATTCTTTTGAAAATTTAAATTTGATTTAAATTTTTTGATTTAAGTGTTTCACAAGTTTTAAATGCATTTAAACCTTTAAAAATGTGAAACTATATATCTCTATTATATAAATTTATATTATTTATATCATACATAAATTCGCATTCAATTTATAAATGACCTCTTAATTTACTACTTTTAAAATTTCTATGTACTGTATATCGAATTGTGAATTTGAATAAAAACATCATAAATAAGCTGAATGAAAAAAAAATTTAAATTTTTGAAATGGCTTGACCCATCACGAAAGATTTGGTTTTACCTTCGTAAAATAGTAAATAAGTATATGGCCCCTAACTCACTCTTATAAAATTTCATGTATATCAGTTTTTATTTTGATGTAATATTACTCGAGAGTCATAATAGTTCAGGAACAACACATGGGATAGAATAGATAAGATACTTCAATAACTTGTTTACAATTGGCAAAAGTTTCTTTACCATTCAATTTTTTGAAGTTTTAGATTCATTAAGAATATGATGCAAATCTGGTCAAAAAAGTGGAATTCTGAGGATCAGCTGAAAAAAAGGCAGGTCTGATTGAAAAATAATTCAACAGTTTTTCTGAAGACTGAGTAGAATGCCTGCAAACAGTAAGTGCTTTACTTAGAACTTAAAACTAATACCCTATTCATTACAAGGCTAAAAAATTATTATTTAAGAGTGTTTGCATATAATTCACAATAAACTACTATTGAGTTTATTGACAACTGTTCCATATTTTGCAATATTTTTTAAACTTAAAAAAATATTTTTAATCATTATACAGTATGGGATCTATTAGCCGGCAACCCTGAGATCAAAGTGATGCTGGTTTCTGGATTTTGGAACGCTGCTGAAAATCAATTCCTCTTACAAAACTACCTGCTTAGAACCTGCACTAGAGAAGTATATGATGCATTAGGTTAAATAGTGAAACTTATTTAGGTAAAATTTACCATCAAAGAAATTAGATGATAGGGAAAAAAATAAAAAATTAAATAAAAATATAAAGATTGCAGACTAATCTTTTATTTTTTATTATTAGTTTAAACATCATTGATTTTTAACTTGCATTGGTAGTCTTTTTGTTGAGTACCTCATTAACAACTTTGTCATTTGTTAATTGGAGCATAGTTGGCACATTTTTATCTACTTTTAAGGAATCTTCTATGAGTTTTTCATTTATTTTCACATGACTTAAAGAACTTTTGTTATACTAAGTATCTCCTGGATTATTACTTTTTCGTTTGAAGTGCAAAAACCAAGAAATTCATCATTTTCCAAGAAATTCATCAAGAAAAATTGACATTGGCCAAGCCTTGTGCCAAGCATTGATCAGGGCATCATTTTTTACTTGACTCCATGGGTCAGCAATACTCCAAATGGCATCTTTTATTGTGAATTGTTTCTAGGAATCTCTAATTCTATTTTTGGAGTTGCAAAATTCCAAACATTTTCGAACGAACGACATTTTATGCCTATTTTAACGAATTTAATGTGCCTTAATTCAATGGTTGTAGCAAAGATGTAAAATTTGAGGGTAAAAAAATTACGTGAAAATTGTCTTATTTGCTTTTGTATGTGTAGAGCAATTGGCTAACAAAGGTAAGACTTCTGAGCTAACTGAGAATCATACATTTGAACAGTGGTTTTTGATAGAGGGCATAAAATACTTGTCAAACCAGTCTCTAAAAATATCTTGTGTCACCCAAGCATGCCTATTATATAGATAAATCACATGTAGGTTTTTGATATTTTTCAATGCCCTGGGATTTGTGCTTTTCCCAATAACTAACAGTTTGCACGGATGTGATGTTTTTCATTTATTAATTAATTTTGCTGAATTACTGTTACTGTAGAATATAAGCCGTGTGTATCTTGGTTTTTTGAAATTGAATTGTTTGAACTGTCAATTTTATAATGTTCTCAAAGTAATTTAGCAAATATTCCTGAATAGTACTTTTTATTTCCGGAATATTAGGATCCCAACTTTTTTAGTAATGCCAAGGCATATATGTTTTTTATTTTTATTATTTTTTTTTAAATTCTACTAACATCACTAATTTCTCTTGTTTTTTTTTAACAAAATGTTTAAAAATTAAATTGCACAAATGATTGTAAAAAAATATACAGATTTCTATTATCCCTTGATAAAGGAAAGAAGAAATAAGTAATCTGGATGGTTGAGCACAACACTATGAGTGAAGTTAAACTTTTCAAGTAGGAGTATGGGGGTAAACACTGGGGACAATTTCACTCATTGAAACACAACCTTCACTCTTTCATGGGACTCTAAAAAAGGTGTTTGACTGAATGATTATCTATGCAATGTCTTTCGACTTTGGAAGTAAGTGCATATCGTTTCCCTCACCTTGCAGTATGCCGATTTATAAAAACAGCTTTTTAGTACTCATTCAAAGAGAAAGCGGCTATGGAGAGTTTCTTTGTCTGCTTAGCAGTGACAAATTATCCTTGCGGGTTATCCTTTCAGGCCACAAGAATTTTATAGGCAGAGAACAGGGCTTTTCGGCATACATTCAGGCAGCATAGTGGAATGATATCAATTTAAAACACACATTCACTGATAAGAAAGGAAAGATTGATGCAATGATTAGTAGGTATTTGCACATACCTAATTTTTATCCTACATAAATCTTTTCTGAAAAGTGTTACTGACATTAATAAATTTTAAAAGAAAGTCTCGAGTTCAAAATATTTCTAATAAAAAGCTTGTATTTCTATACCCTAAAAAAAACTGATTTTTTATAGAGATTTTGAAATAGTCAAGTATTTTAAAATTGTCAGTTTTTGGAATATTCCAGTTTTGGAATGCCAGAAAAGAGGTCTAGTAATTTACTAACTTATTTATTATCATGTTACTTTACAATATAAAGATTGTAAGTGGTTATGATTAAAAAAAAGTTCAATTCCTTTAACAGCAGATTTTTTTTCCTACATAAATTTTTATTTTCAGGACTAAATGAATCAGTCTCAAATACCAGTTGAAACAGGCTTAACTCACCATGATTGGTTGATTTGGTTGAATAACAGGGAACTGAACTTCAAAATCTTCATCATCTGTTTCAGGTGGTGGTGGGCGAGGAGGTGGAAACGCGTCTTCTGAAGCAGGTAGAGGTGGTCTAGGAGGTGCTTCATCTACAAAAAGACAATCTTATAAGATTTGTAAAACTCACTCTGTTAACATTTAGTAAAATATTAACACAAAATCAAGAATAAGAATTGAGTATCATTACAATATTTCAAGCTAAATAAATTAATATGATTGCATAGCTGCCACTTTTAACAATTGTTGATTATGATTTTTAATAGTAGAAGGAGCATAATAATTGAACTTACAATTGCTAGCAAGAATTATTTTGACTTGGTATTAACTAAATTATTTTAAATAAGATTGTTAGGACTTCTTGTTATCATCATCATCATCATCAATGGCTTGACAGCCCAGGGTGGGCCCTGGGCTTCTCAAGAAGTTTTTTCCAGGCTAACTTTTTTTTGCTAGTGTTTTCCATTTTTTTTGTTTTTAAGACCAAAAGGCCTTTCTCTAGGCCATCTATCCATCTCAAATTCGGCCTGCCTCTTTTTCGTGTGCCAACTGGTCTGGCATTGAAAACTCTTTTCGTGGCATGGTCTCCGTCTATTCTTGATATAATTACTTAAATTATTTATACGTAGCACACTCTCCTGTAAAATAACTTTTTCTCGTTATAGTAAAAAAGAGCAGAGGCTTTTAAAACAAATGAAATTTTTAACTTTTTTTTATCAGACTTAAAACACATTCCCAGTCTACATGACCTTTCATATCTATATGTTTCATACATTTATCTGTAGTGATAAAGTAAATTCTTTTAATTCTGGGTTATTAAAATATTAATGCCTTATTCTGGCTATTAGTAGAAAAAAATATTTTCTAAAACTGTAGAAATTCTGTAGCAGTCAGAGGGTATGATGTAGGGGTGATAAAAATCAAATCAACTTTGTTAGATATCGATAAATTTTTTTCTCCAATGCCCACCTGGAGAATGACGTAGGTTATACAGGCAACTGAAGGGCAGATTTGTTGAACACTCTTTCAGGGGCGCCATATTAGGTAGGTCAACGTTGCTCCCACAGTAAGGACAGATAGAACAGAGAATGAAAGAACATTCATGCCCTGCCAGGGTTTCGAACCCAAAACCTTTCTGATGCAAGGTCAGTTCCCTGACCCCTACACAGCTTGATAAAAAAATTAGAGTATACATTTGGTTACCGCTTTAAATATAAAAAAATACCCTACAAAACTGTGAGATTTAACAGCTACACAATTTGTTTAAAAAGCAATAGCATTGCTTTGAACCAGCATTATAAATTTAAGCAACCTGAATACTATAAACATGATAAAATCAATATGTAAAAAATGCAAAAGGGTGGAAATGAAAACTAGCAACCCTTCATTCTTTTTCTTAAACTTACATCATTGGCAAACATTTTTACATGAATAATTCAGGTTTGGAAAGGTTGAACACCATAATTCGACTTGATAGTAATTTACTTACTATACAAACTTACAGATTATAATTTTGGTCAGTGTAAGTTTATTTAGGTAGGATTGAAAATATAGTAGGTTTTACGAGTTAAGAAAAGTAGATATAAGAAATGGATATATAATTCTAAATTAATCATATGGGGTTTTAAAAAACAGAGAAAAACACCACTGAAATTTCAAGGATTTATAATTTATATTACAATTGATAACAAAATGATTTGTTAAAAGAACAGTTTCTGAAAATGATTTGTTAAAAGAACAGTTTCTGAAAATGTCTGGCTGAAAAATCTAAAAATACTTACTATAAAATAATCTCCAATTCATACTAAAAAATATTAATAACTTAAAATTGATATTACTAATAATCCTCCATACATGAATCATAAACAAGGGCACACTGTCTATAACACATGCATTAAAAATATATTAAAATTAATACATGCAGAAAAAGTGAAAAAATTAAATCTTAGTCAATTTCTGTATTTGGCAAGTTGTTAACTCAGTCTAAAATTTGTAGATTTCATATCCAATAGCTAAAAATATACCTGTATCTTACTTATAATGCAAAATTAATTATACCTAGCATAGTGAAAGCTCAAATACAAGTTGAATAGACGGCTATTAAACATTTTGGGAAAAATCTTTGCAAGTAAATTCAAACATAATTACTCATACTTGTAATACATATCCTATCAAATAACTTATGTAAATTAATGCAGAATTTTTAAAAAAATTTAATTCAAGCAGCTGAGAAGTCATAATAAATGTGACAAATAGAAGTATTAATTAAAATTTTCATTTATGTCATGTGATTGTCAATTGTGAAGACTATAGCACTCACTTGATGCAATAATAGCTAAGTAAGCTACTATATTGATAGGTGAACTGTAACTCAAACTACTTATTGAAAATTTTTGATTCCCATGTAACACATTGCAGGTTAAGTTTTACTCAAAAGATCTTTCCTAAACTCATGTTTTAATAATAATTTCGTTTATTGAATAAGATCTAAAATTAGAAGGACGTAAAGAATCAATATTTATAGCTTAAAATTAAGCACATCGATTAGCTGTTTAACAATCATGATAATATAAAATGCTAAGAGTATTGCGTACAACTCGAGTGATCATTTTCTATTACAGTTATTTATTTGAATAGCGTTCATTGATTTTTGAAGAGGAGCATTTTTAAAAATATCTGGAAAAAAACCCCATCTTATACATAAAATTTCTTACCACTGAGTCATTAAAAAAATTATATTAGCTACTAAGTATCATAGATGCATGTTTTTTGAGTGTTTTTAATAACTGAACATCTCACAAGACTGCAGTTTTAAAAATGCACACAACATGCAGCAGCAAAATTAATAATGCACAAACACGTCAAAGTATTAGTCCCACAGTGCATTCAAATATACCTCTTTTAGAAGGAAGCTTAGGAGCAGCATCAGTTGAGAATGTATTTGTCTCAACTTTGAAAATTTGCTCAAAATCAGGTAATTTCAAATCTGTACGGCGTTCTGGTAAAAAGAAATTCAAGATATTATATAATATGGTTCAAAGTAGTTAAAAAAATACAAAAAGAAAGTTAAACCTATGTGTTGAGAGGGACTAATTTGATGATTTGAATTGTTATAATAGTGAATAATCGAACTTTTTTAGTTTTTCTTATGTTTTTGAAATTGAAAATTATTTAAAGCTGGCTGAATAGCAAATTCCAAAACACATTATCCATAATACCACATTCACAACTACTTCTTTTAGAATGTAATAACTAAGGAGACAAATTTCTGATAAACAATGGCGCAGAAATAAAATAATAAAGAGTCTTTCAGTGTAAAAATTAAGTAAAGCATTTTAAAGGAGTGGAAATAATACAATTATCTATAACAGAATAAAAATACCAATTATTAAGGGTATATATAACACATATATTAATGTTTCATTAATTATTTCTTTCACAATATTTCATAGTTTTAAAAGAAACAGACTTACAACTTCTTATTCAAGTACATGTAATAAATCGTTTGAAATGTAATTTGGTGATTTTAAGAATGTACTCTAATAGAAAAATCTCTCTTTTCAATTAAATAAAAGTGCAACATAATTTTTAATGAAATGCAGCTATTTCTTCTTAATTTGAAGGGAATGCTACTTTAAATTCTTTATGAAAAAGCTTAACTTAATTTTTTTTAAATTTTTGTATGAAAAGTTCTTCTGAAATATATGGAAAATAAATCATGGTTTCACAATTACCAAACTCAAAAGTTTAAAATTTATGAATGAAAATTCAAAAGTTTTTATACCATTAAGATTCAACATGTTCATGTCAGGAGGAGGTGGAATGTCAGGGGGAAAATCTGGTGTAGCCATAACAGCATAATGCACTTGTCCAACTGCAGCTATCAGCTATAAGAAAGTGGAGATTTCATTAAAATTAAATAAGTTTGAAAATAAAAGACTACAAGAAATTAATAAAAGTATATTTCAACTAAAAAATATTAGTATTTACAAAGTTCTACTATTTAGTGAAGTAAAAAGAATGTCAGAAAGAGTAAGACAAACCTTGAAATTAAAATTTAATTTCAAAATGATAGTTTTTTAATTAGTTCTAAAAATCTCAAAATATAATAGTTTTGATATGTGTTTTGAGGATCCTATTAAAAAAATATTATAATAAAATATAACATGTAATGAATTCTTTTATATTGCTAAAAATAGGTTTCATTTGGTTACAGATAAATATCCAAATTTCTGAAAAATTGCCATTAAATAACATTTAAGGGTTAGGACATCTTCTTAACAATTAATTAAATATCCAAGAGTTAATTTTCTATAATCTAAGACATTTTTAACTGAGAAAGTTTATATTTTTATGTTTGTATGAGCTGAAAACTAAATTTTGAAGATGATCCTTGTCCACTTTTGCAAATTCAAAATCTATACTGCAGTGAATAAGCTATTTTTAGCAAATTTTTCTTAAAAAACTTCATTACCAGTATAGAAAATTTGAAATAAAGTTATAAAAATTTATTTAAATTTTATTAGTTAAACGCAAAACTTTAAGTAATGCATAGTGAGTCCACTGGACTTATGAAACTATGTATTTTTAGGACTAAGAACTTCAAAAATTTTTAGTTTCTTTTTTAACTAAAAGTTGGACCTTATTAAAAATTTGAATTTTCCACTCCTTTATTTATCTACTAATAAGCACATTCACAATTATATAGAGTAATAGAGAAGATAGATAAAAAGTTATGATTGAATAATCATAGCTTTTATTTAGGACTAATCTAACATCTTCATTAAGAAAAGCAACAATAATTATGATACTCAGAATTATTTTAATTTATCCTTTCAGCTATAATTTTGACAATATGCTACTCTGTTTTTTCAAACTGGAAAATTATGCCCGCACAGAGAGGCATATTAATTAATTTTTTGTGCCCTCCCTACAATTTTTGGCACGGTATAGTGCGTAAGCGGAATCACTAGAATGTGGCAAATAATTAACAGATAAGACAAATTAAAATAATTAGCCAGAAAAATGTAAACATTTCTTAATTTATCCATACTCCTCAGAGCATACGTTTAATATTGAATAGCTAATGTTAAGTAGTTAATAAAATACTAGGTATATCAGTTTTTTTTGTATTAACTAAAAATATGATCTGCAATAAATTACGAACAAAAACAAGTATTTTTGAACATCCAATGCCAGAAAATATAGAAATAAGCTTGTAGCTTATATAGATTACTTTGGTTATAGTTTGAAATAATAGCATAAAATTTCATTAGCTTAAATATCTATTGGATATGGACATTTTTATAAAAAACTAAATTTTTATAGTCTTCATTTTTTTGCTTTCATTTTGAAAACATTTAGCTAAGTTAACCAAAATTTTGGAGCAATTTTTTATTTATTACAAAATTACTATTATAAAGTTTGAAAAACATTAGTTAAAAATTAAGCAAGATATGAGCATTTAAAAAAGTTCTTTCATACTGCGCATGCAAGGAAATGATTAAATATTTTTTCCCAATTTTGTAGTGAATTGTATTTAGTAACTAATGAAAAAATTTTGATTTAAATATCTTGAAACTTTATTCCTCGCAATTTTCTAAGTAGTTTTTTAAAGAAAGATCTGAATGATAAGGGGTTTTCCTTAAATTTTATTTCCTACTATGAAACAAGAATAATTAAAAATGACATTGGCACAGTTAGGGATCACCCCCATTATAGTACGTCTTTCTTTTTTAGCATTTCATTTTGGTGTACGGTAGGGGTGCTCAACCTGCGGCCCGCGGGCCAAATGCGGCCCGCCAACCCTCGATGTGCGGCCCGCGGCCGCAATCTGAACAAAATGGAAAAAAAATTAAATATTTGTTTTTGAAGAATAATAAAAAAAATTCGGTAATTTAAATGTACACTTTTAAGTTTTTGACGCACCCAATCTCAATCAATGTAGTTTTTTGATGGTTAACGCTACGGATTTCAGCATAATTTTAAAAATCCCTATACTTTTAATACATCATTATTACGATTTACGAATTTTAATTACCACTTTTGACGCTTCTCTATGTGCCGATTCCAATGACTTTTCGGTAGTTATTGCTACCCATTTTCAAGTAGTTTCTGAAATAGCGATTTTTGAAAGTTATGAAACGCTTTATTTGTGCAAACTTCATGGAAAATCTAAATGACTTAAGATCCTTTCTTCAACAGTTATTGCTGCACATTTCCGCCCGGTTTTTAAAACTTCGATATTTTAGCATGATATTATTACGAATCGTGAGTAAAAAATTGCTCATTTAGATAACCATTTTTTGACATGGCTTATTTGTAACGATTTTATCGCAAATGGATTTATTTTTCAATCATTATTTTAGAAATTATTGCTATACATTTCTACAAGGTTTTGAAAGTACCGATATTTTTTATACGCTATTGCGACATTTTAATTTCAAATCGCGCATTTAAATTACATAAAATTTTGATGGACTTTATTTACTCCAATTTCATCTGAAATATAAAAGTATTTTGGTTATTGTTTTAGTAGTTATTACGTTTTCCCCGTGATTTAAAAAGATTATGATATTTTTAATACTATGGTTTGACAGCAAGCGAGTTTTGAATCGCGCATTAAAATAATTATTTTTTACGTTCTCTGTTTGTGCCAATTTTATCATTTGCGTTGTACCGATTTTAACGCGCATTTTTTAAGAGGTTTTTCGAACGTGTTTTTTCTTCTTTCCCGTTATTGCTGCATTTTTATTTGTGATTTAGAATATACCTGATATTTTTACACAATATTACAACTCGTGAAATTCGATTCAGTTTTAATTTTTTTTCGTAACTTAAAAAGTAATTACGTATCTTAGCCAAATCAACTCCTTCCCAGGAAAAAAAAATGAGATGTGTTTATATTAAGCGCTGCCCGTTTTGCAAAAAAAATAATTCAAAACACGGCATAATTCTTTAGTCACATGAACACGTGCAAGTTTAACAACACACATCGAACCTATTCTTTTTGTTGTCACATGTAATTTAAAAGTCATACATCGTAATTTGTATTTACGCTATCTGAAAATTGCGCATCGCATTTCGTATTGACATTAACGAGATTTAAAAATAATCCATCGCGTTTCGTATTTACGGGATTTAAAATCACATATCGCGATTCGTGTTCTGGCGTTTAAAATATCATCCGTTGTTACTTTTCTCGCAAATTCATATGCACGCGTTTTAAGAACCATATATCGCGATTCATATTCATGCATTTTAAAAATCAAGTGTTGTGAGTAGTCCTTTCGCAATTTAAAAGCCACACGATACGTATTCACGCGATTTGAAAAACAAGCATCGAGTTTTTTATTTACGCAATTTAAAAATCACACATGGCAATTCGTATTCAAGCAATTAAAAAATAACACATAGCAATTCATATTCAAGCAATTCAAAAATAACGCATCGCTATTTGTATTTCCGCGATTTAAAAACCCAGAAAGGAAGAACACCATCTAGGACAAATTCCAAAACTGATTATGTTATTTGCTCTAAGTTTAATACTACCCACAACAACAGCTTCTGTCGAAAGACTGTTTTCCAGAATGAATTTGGCTCGTTCAATAGTTACAGAGTAGTCTTTAAATACAATCATTACATTTTCACTTAATGGCTCAAAAAATATCACATGATCAAGTAGATAAAATTATCACAATATTCAAAAATTTTGCAAATTACAGTATAACCATTAAGAAATTTTTTGAACCATTTTCTACCTTTTTGGAGCATTTTATATCATTTATGATTATATGCTGGGAAATAATTTGTATATCATTAAATTCTAAATAAATTGTATATCATCTCTCAGCCTCTTATTATTAATTTAAATAAAAATGTCTGAATGTTAAAGTACATTCCCTAATAAATGCTAAATCTTATTTTCCACTTAAGGGGTTTTGTTTTAATTTTAATCATTTTTAACCCTATAAACTTTCTTTAAATCAAAGTATTTAACTTGAATTTATATTAATAACTAGAATATTTATTTATCTGAAATTTAATTCTATGAAAAAAAAATGTAACGTTAAAATTTATGTTTAAATGGACTTTTGTATTTTGTAATGTGATAAAAAAAACTTAAATTTTTCCATAGTTTTTTAATTATTTCAATTTATCTAAATTTTTTTCTGATAAATTGATTCTGATTTTCGAATTCTGTTTTCCTTCTTAAGTAATCAGTTTTGCATTTTCTAATTTTAAACGATTTAAAGTATTGTATTTTCTGCAAAGAGATTACAAAGTTAACCGACAAAAAGAATTTAGTGTTATATAAAGAATGATGTTTATATAACAATCACCACCAACAATTGCTTTCAATATGTCGGTCTAAACACTTTGGCATGCGGCCCTTCATTGGTCAATCTGCTGTGCATGTGGCCCTTCACTGAAAAAGGTTGTGCACCCCTAGTGTACGGACTACTATTGTAAGTACATATGTTATTAAATTTTGTCTTATGATAAAAAATGAAATTTGTGGAAATCCCCATACAAGGTTGCCACTCAAATCTGGAAAAAAATTCCCTGCATTTCCTGTGTATATATTATACACAATATATTAAGAGGAAACAACAATTACTGTGCTCTTGTATGAGCTATATTAAAATAACTATATTTATTAGTTTTAATTCCTGGAAAAACAGCTGAACATACTTAAATAATGCTGTAGCAAATTAAATAGTTTAGTACAGCTGAAATATCATGGTTAAATATCCAATAGATTACGCCTTCAGTGGTCACCATTTTTTAAAAAACAAGAAACAAAATTCCTTGTATTTTCCCAGTTTGTAAAGAAAATATCAAAATTACCTGCATTTTCCCTGTTATTTTAGGTGATTTTTAAATTTCCTCTATTTGCGCATTATCGAAATAACTACTTAAAAGGCTCATATTTTATGCAATTCTTAACAATTAATTTGAAAAAATGATTATCTTGTAATGAATTAAAAATTGCTCCAAAAATTTTGTTTAATTTCATTGAATATTTTTAAAGTTAAAAAAAAAAAACATAAGTTAAAAAGATCATTATTTTTTTATGTAAAAATGTCCATATCTCTATAAATATTTCAGCCAGGTTTAAGAAATTTCTCACAATTATTGTTAATAACAATCAAAGTAATTGATAGAAATTACAAGTTTATTGCAATATTTTCTGGCATAAGGTGTTCAAAAATACTTGTTTTTGTACATAATTTATTACTGCTATCTCAAACCTTTGACAGCTTTAAACTTTATTGATAAGTATGAGAAATGGCATGACCTAAACAGGTCTAAAGTTAAAAAATAATCATCCAAGTATTTCTTGAGAAATTTAAAAAAATGTCAAAAACTGTGTGTTTTCCATTTTAGTAAGTTTTACTGATACTGAAAAATTTCATTAAAGAAAAAGTTTTACAATATTAAGAATAAGATGCACAATGATGAAACTCCTGCAAAGTGATAGAAAATCTAAATATATAACAAATATGGTGATTCTAAATTAAAAATCAAACTTACTGCTTTATTACTAGTTCTCCAACAATTAACAGCTTTGGCATCATGTATATTAAGTGCAACCATTTTAGCATCTTGTACCATGGGAGTAACAGCTAATAAAGAAAGAAAAATAAATTTAACATTCAAATAACTAGTTAATCTCAGTAACTATTTTATCTAAATATCAAAACACAAATTTAAAAACATATTTTTAGATCAAAACTAATATTTAGAAGTTTTGTAGGAACATCATATGTCACATGACTATTCATATTACTTTTATGAGAGTTGCGAATGGCAACAGATCAAAAAATAATAATAAAAAATGAGTGTTCTAAAAAATGTCTGCTGATCATTTTTATCCTGTAACTCTGTTGCGTACAGCTATGTTTTAAAAANATTAAACACTAACACACAGGGAAGAAAATGGAAAACTTGGAAAAACAGCCTCCATACATGAAGGAAGAAAGTAGATTCTTTAACAAATCAATAATTAAAAAGAGAAAGATAAGAGAAAGAGCCTATCTAATAAATCCTAAGAAAGTCAGAGGAAGAAAGAGGCAAATGACACTATTTGAATATTTTTTGTGCGAAAAATAAGTGTTCTTGGCAACAAATAGTATACATACAACCCTAGAAAATCAGTGACTTGGCATTAAACACTAACACACAGGGAAGAAAATGGAAAACTTGGAAAAACAGCCTCCATACATGAAGGAAGAAAGTAGATTCTTTAACAAATCAATAATTAAAAAGAGAAAGATAAGAGAAAGAGCCTATCTAATAAATCCTAAGAAAGTCAGAGGAAGAAAGAGGCAAATGACACTATTTGAATATTTTTTGTGCGAAAAATAAGTGTTCTTGGCAACAAATAGTATACATACAACCCTAGAAAATCAGTGACTTGGCATTAAACACTAACACACAGGGAAGAAAATGGAAAACTTGGAAAAACAGCCTCCATACATGAAGGAAGAAAGTAGATTCTTTAACAAATCAATAATTAAAAAGAGAAAGATAAGAGAAAGAGCCTATCTAATAAATCCTAAGAAAGTCAGAGGAAGAAAGAGGCAAATGACACTATTTGAATATTTTTTGTGCGAAAAATAAGTGTTCTTGGCAACAAATAGTATACATACAACCCTAGAAAATCAGTGACTTGGCATTAAACACTAACACACAGGGAAGAAAATGGAAAACTTGGAAAAACAGCCTCCATACATGAAGGAAGAAAGTAGATTCTTTAACAAATCAATAATTAAAAAGAGAAAGATAAGAGAAAGAGCCTATCTAATAAATCCTAAGAAAGTCAGAGGAAGAAAGAGGCAAATGACACTATTTGAATATTTTTTGTGCGAAAAATAAGTGTTCTTGGCAACAAATAGTATACATACAACCCTAGAAAATCAGTGACTTGGCATTAAACACTAACACACAGGGAAGAAAATGGAAAACTTGGAAAAACAGCCTCCATACATGAAGGAAGAAAGTAGATTCTTTAACAAATCAATAATTAAAAAGAGAAAGATAAGAGAAAGAGCCTATCTAATAAATCCTAAGAAAGTCAGAGGAAGAAAGAGGCAAATGACACTATTTGAATATTTTTTGTGCGAAAAATAAGTGTTCTTGGCAACAAATAGTATACATACAACCCTAGAAAATCAGTGACTTGGCATTAAACACTAACACACAGGGAAGAAAATGGAAAACTTGGAAAAACAGCCTCCATACATGAAGGAAGAAAGTAGATTCTTTAACAAATCAATAATTAAAAAGAGAAAGATAAAAATAGCCCTTAAATGGTTTCAACATACAATTTTATTGTTTCTGTTTCAAAATGCATTGTGTTTGAGACAGGTTGCTTCGTTTACTGAATTAAATTTTTTTTTCTGAGCAAAATAGTGCTGGAAATAAATTTTTTATGCTTATGAAACTTTTTTAGAATATTAGTATTACTAGTAACTGAATACTCATTATTTGTATGTGATGAAAAGAAGTAAATAATCAATAAATAGATACTGATTAATCCTACAAAATTATGCACAAAACTGAAAGAGACATACTGACACAATTTTGTTAAAACAAAAATACTGTGGTAAAGACAGATCAGACCTCCACTGTTATTGAGCTAACCATGACAAGTTTATATCTAAATTTTACAGAAGTGCTAAATAGTTTAATTTAAAATTATTATATTTTTTTTTTGGAAAGTGAATGTGACGTGGTTCTTTAAGCAATTGTTCTCTTGTCTTCTAGTAAAAAGAAACAAATAATAAAAAGTTAAAAAAGAAACAAATCTGCATATCCACTGAGTGGATTCGCCACTCAAAGCAGGAAATTTGTCAAAAGGTAACTGAAATTATGAAAAATTTCATTATTGCAAGAAACGACTAAAGTTTGTTTAAAAAATTTTAAATAATTTGTGCATTTAAATATCTATAGATATTTTTTGTATCAAAACTAAAAAGAAATATTCAGTCATAGACATACTTCTAGACAAAAGGAAGACACGTAAATTTTTGATTAGAACTGAGCTATGTAAAAGGAATATTTTAAAATCCATTATTATCAAATTATTGCAAGTAAAGAGATAAATACTGATAAAACATCTAATACGCGAATGTTGAGCTCACCTATTAAAAAGTAAAAATTTATTAAAAGTAACAAAGATTAATATTAGCAAAAATTTTTGTATGGGGGATTCACTATTCTTTCATTCTGTTATATTTATACTTCATTAAAAAAATGCTAAGGATTTGATGGTTTTATCCAAATAATTTAAAAAAAAAAGAAAAAAAAAACAAGCTTGTTTTTATCCATACAAGGAGAGATTAAACATAATTGAATGAAAAAAAAAATTTTTTTTTCCATGAAGCATTTTGCTAATATTAGTCTGTGTTACTTTAAATAAACATACGTTATGTGCTAACTTTTAAATGTTTATGTATTATTGTTCTTTTATATAATTATACTCATCAAACAGTTGAAACATAAAGGAATGAATAAGCATATTCAAAATCTTCAGTTATTCTTTATTAGCATGTACATGAAAGGAAATTTTTTAATTTTTTCTTGATAATATTAATTAATAGTTGATAAGGTTTTTTTTCATTATACTTAATGATAGCAAAATTATTTTTAATTTAAAGGGTAAAATATTAAAAACTCTTTTTTTAAATATATAAAAAAACTGGTTTAAACCAAAAAAGGATAGTTCTTCATTTTTTTTCATACCTCAGTGAGTAGTTAGCTATGTTATATACTCCCTTATATAATAAGCAACGTAGAACTAATATGCTAGTATATAAGTTTAGAACTTCTTTTATGGGAACTGGGCATTTTAAAGGTTGTATATTATAGATCAATAGTTACTGAGATAATTCAGAAGAAAATTTATTTCAAGTAAGTTATTTCAATAAAAAAGGTTTATGAAAGTGTGATTTTCTCAGTAAATAGCCAATACAGATTTTGTCTTGTAAGTTGAGTTTGAAATAAGCTTATGGAAGATGTGTAAAAGAATAATATCTATATCATATTAAGTTTATTATAAAACTAAAAAATAAGCTAACAATAAATTTAAATACATACTAGATTGCAATATTTCTGCAGCTTCATTTACTCTAGCAACAAAGAATGGATCTTCTGAATTATCTGATTCTTGCTTAGCTACCATTAAGACTCTATTAGCCAGTCGAGCTATGGATGAAGTATTCTCTACCATTTTTTGAGGGTCATGGTTAGCAATGGAATCTTCACATGCTTGAGTGTGCTTCAGAATGCTATCCTCTGCAAAATAAGATTAAAAAAAAACCTATCGTCAACTTTAACAATGGATAAAAATAAACTAAAACAGTGCTTGTCTCTAAAAACACATATTTCTTAAATAATGTTTTTAACAAAAAATGTAAAATAAAAAATAGTTTAAAAAAATGGTTTTAACAAAAAATTATTCCCTACAAGAGAAAATATATAAGTATAAGAGACTATCATTAACATTTTTAACAGAAGATATAGCATTATTACAATCATGTTTTTCTGTTTTTATGAGATATATAATACTTCTTAAAATAAATAATAATAATAAAATAAATATAAAAATAAATAATTAAAATAAAAAATAAATAAAAATAAATGCATATATATATATATATATATATATATATATGCACACCTATATTTTGTACTTAACTTGAAAAACTATTGAGCTCTCACAGCTGCATCTGGCTCATGTATTGATTAATACTCTTAATAAACATGTTCAACACTTTTCAACAGCAGTTCGTTAACTATCATGCCAGTTATATTTATCTAATATATTATATTAATGTACAAATTCTTACACTATACCTGACATTTTTATAAAACTTAAGGTATCTGTTGCTTCATCTGCAAGAGCTCTCATCTTGTGCACACTTTCAGAATATTGCCTTCTAAGGTTCTCAAAGTGATCATCAGCTGCCTAAGAGAAAAATCAGAATTATTACACCGTATTTATGTAAGGACAGTAAAAAAAAGTCAAAACTTTGTTACAAAGTGACAATTCATTTTTAAGTTATGAAGCCAAAAATGCTAATTCATTTATCAGGAACTGCAAGTTTGCTTTACAGTGGAAAAAACCATCCTATAAGAAATAGGCTAACTCAAGAGGAAGAATTAAAAGAAACTCTTTTTAATAAAGGAATATCAAATTAAATTTAAAACAATTGCAATCCTGTTTAAATAATAGCATTATTTCTAAGTTATTTAAAAAAAAATTAGTTTGAAATATGCAAATGAAAAAAAAATTATTTAATGAATTTCTTAAGAAATTAAAACAACAGTAGGTTATTTCAATGTTTTACTTAAAAGAGTACAGCAGAACTTTATACTATAATTACATAAAGAAATTTTAAAATATTGTAATCAAATGATATTTATACAATTATTTCAAACAACATACTAATATCATAACCAAATGTTATTAAACATAAATACTGAAAGCAAACATAGATAGTATGCTAAAGGAATTCATCAATAGAAAATGCTAATGAAAATTTTATTTTACATACATAATCACAAAATTATAAGTTTTTTATTACTTATAAAATAATAATTTCTTACTGTACATTTTTATTCCAGAATTATATTTTCAAATGAATGATTGATTTTAAAAATATTTAAATAAGTGAGAAACAACTTTTTTAGCATTTGAGCTGAAAATAATGATAATTTTAATGTTAATTTTTATATAAATCAGATTAAAAAAAATCCAAAAGCAAATATTTAAAATTAGTAAAAGATACACACACGGCTAATGAATTAGAAATTTGGTAGATTTTCTCTTGCCGTCATTCCACTGTACAAGGGATTTGCGGGAATATCAAGATGTAAGACATGTTCTTCTGGTGAGGAAGTGGTGTCTCTTAAAGGTAAACAAAATACTGTGCAACACCTGGACACATTGACAAATTAAGTTCATCTTGCCATTTGACATTTTTACTTCGAAGGTGATGAATACATCAAGGACTATAAGTTGACCATAAATTATGCTTGAAGCATACAAATTTGGTTCAATAAACATCAAGATGACTTCCAACATCTTGCTAGACCATCACAAAATTTGGATCTTATACTAATAAAAAATATTTAGGAGATGTGGGTAAGGCAAAATATGTCAGCAATCACCTCTTCCATGAATTTACAGGATCTTAAAGTCTCTGTAGCCTATTCATGGTATTCTCTGGACATAAATGCACTCCTATGGAATCTATGTCTTCTCAAATACAGGCTGTTATACATGCCGAAGCAGACCAAAATAATATTAATCTAAGGTTTCTAATTCCTTGCAAATTTATTAAAGAAAATAAGAATAACATAAATCAAAATAAATTACCATAATAAGTTATATAGATTTAAAAAACCTATAAAAAATAAAAATATGAAACTAGTTCTGTTTCAAACTTGAACTATTCATTCATTAGTCACCCTTAGGCAATCATATTGGTCAATTTTAGCTTCTTCCCTTTTTGTGCACTTTCTTCCAGACAAAATCCCAACCCTATATTTATACTACTGTGACATGAGATGAGCTATGGTTAATGCTGACCTGAATATGAATATCTCTATGCGATTCATTGGTTTTCCCAGAGCAGATCATTAATCTGCATATACAAGTCAAGTGGACTGGTTCAGTGAGCCTTTTACAAGTATAAATTGTTTTTCAGTGAAGTATGTCCAGCGCTATTTTTTCCCCAACCATTTGGTGCACAATTGTCAAAGACATGCAATGTTAATTATAAATTACAAATAAACATTGAATTTCAAGATCCTGAAGAAATGAACCACGATTTAAAGCACTTTTTTGCTTGTTTCCTTTTTCAATGTAGGAAAAATACACTTAACTATTTCACTTTCAGAGCAATGAAGTAGCAACTATGTAGATCCATGTGTTTTCACTGTGCATTTTCCCTACCGAACAGCAGCTTTGCAGATTAAAGTGGAGAAACCTGTTTTATGACGAGTGTTGGACTTTCAGTTGACTGTTCCTTTTAAATATGTTTTAGAAGGTTTCGTCTAATTTCAAAAATTTCTTTCATTATTAACTTAATATATTAATCAACATTAAGTTGTTTCATATAAAGTAACCTTTTTGATACACAAACATCTAAATGTGAGAAATAGAAAATTTTTGAGCATGTTTTATTAAAATATACTCTATTTATGTAAAAGTATTTCTGCCTTTGATTACAATGTATTTGTAATACAGAACAGTATTGGTTTCAAATCATCAAATTAAGAGAATGTTTCCTATATACTAGTTAATAAAAAAAATTATATCAAATATATCATAAAATGGCAATTACTTTTAAAAATAAGAATAACAGAGATTATAAAAATAACATTATTTGATTGAAGAATGATGTATCTAACTATAAAATATCAGTTTGTTAACAGTAGTATGACACACTAATTATTTGACTGATTTTTAGGATAACTAAAGTCAATAAATATAATCAAAGTATTAGAGGGAACATTTTAAGATATAATACTAAGATCAATACATACTTTATTATCTGGATAAGACATGCGGATACGGCCAGCATTTACTAGTTGAGGTGTCAAACTTTCAACCTAATGTACAAAGAAAAATGAACCCAAATTTTTTTTATAAAATAAAATTGGAAAAAAATTTAATAACAAAGCACGAAATAGGGATTTTTCTTACTTGATTGGCAGAGCTTAAAAGCATTTCTGCAAGTTTCTTATTGGCAGATCCTCCTGTAGCAACACTTCGAGCTGTATTAGACATCAATTGAGATATATTGGTAAGCACACCGGCCTTATCAATGAAATTAAGTTCCCGATTTGGAGTACCTATTTAAAATAGATTTAGAAAATATGTAATAATGGTATGAGGATATAAAAACAGTCACATTTGTTTAATTCCTCTTGGTTTCTCTACTGCTAAGTGCATTTTTCCATTTGGATGTTTTTATTTTTATTAATTATTTGCATCAATATTTTGAATTCCATTCTTGTCATTCTGAACTTACACCTTTAAACTTTTCAAGTAAAGATTTCTTTTTGATTGAGTGTAACATTTTAAGATTTAGTACAAAAACAAGTAACTAGTTTAGCTTTGTTATTCTCCTTAATAAAATTATTTATAATGCTCTAAAAGTACACTTAACATAGTTGGTGAATGTGGATGAGAATAATTACAACAAAATGTCTATAGATTACTAAGGTAACCATTTGCTCCGGACAGCAGATAAATGTTTTCAAATGGTAGTCTTTTAATGTACAATTCTTTGTTTATTAAATTCGATTTATAGGGTTTTTACTCACTAGTACTTCTAAATAATTCAAAGGTTTATGTGATATTTCAGTTTACTACAGATAAGCAGCGTTGAGCCTCTTAAATAGTTAGCATAATATACCAACAATCTGTAAATTTTAGTTTGTAGTTCTCTACCATTTTTAAAAACATTTTGCCAAATCCCAAGCAGTTGGCTTCTCTGAGATTATAGTACTGAAACATCTTTGTGGAAATGAACAATTGTCAGGGATAGCCTAAAAATTCTTCCTTTTTTAAAAACCTGAACCAAAAATATGTTTTTTTTTCAATTCAAACTACCACTACATAAGGAGAAATAACTAATCATAAAAAGAGATTTATTGAAAATTTGTCTGATTCTGTAACAAAGATACCTCAGTTGCTTCTGACAAAATGTGAATTTTTTGATATAATGACAGATTCCAATTTCTCTGTAAAAAAAAAAAATGAAAAACTTAGCGATTGAGCAAGTAGTGTTTGAATGAGCAGACATCAATTATGATTTCCAAAAGTTGTGTTGTTTTAACATTGTCTTTACTAGCTTAAAAAATGCTTTTATAAATTCAAAGATGACTCCATTATATTAGTTTGACATTTTCCATTACCCGGATCTTTACCAAATATTTAGAAATCTCATGGAAGCCACTTTTACTGCTTAATGTGCACAGCATTTTGTCTGTATATAGTGACAATTTTTTAAAATTATAGATAATGATGCACAAAATATGGGAATTGGAATTTAATTTACTTCAACCCGCTTTTTTACACTAATAGATTAAAATATCACCTCAGATTTACAGAAACAGATAATATACTTGGAACTGCACAAAGCGGAAATTAATAGATGCAGAGATTCAGTCTAACAAGACAAAGAGACAAATAGAATTTAAGAAACTGCTTAAAAAATTCCATCAATATTTTGGCAAAAGAGCTTACAAGTGAAAACTGGCTCGCAAATATCAGGCTAAAAACCAGGAAAATAAAATATTCCATTTTTGATGGTGATGGAAGGTCAAAAGGTTGTGCAGAGTCATGTTTATAAGCCGTTTTCAACAACATCAGCAACTCAATTTTTAATTGATAGTGATGCTTAAATATTAGTTTTTCTCCATTACCATTGGAAGCAAAACAGTGTCTAAGCTTGAGCTTTCTACAGCTAAATGTACAAAAATCAAAATATATGTTCAAAAACTGTTAGAACTAGAATTACGGTTACATAGATATTGTAACTGATTAGATTAATGCAAAAATAGTCAACAAATAGAACTGTCAACAAAAAGTGCCTTCCGTAATAATAGCGTCACTCCTAAATTAATTACTAACACTTTTCAAAATTAATATAGATGAGGGCTGCTTGTATACTGGATGAGAGAAAATCATGGTAGTAGGGCCATTTCATAATTCCTTTGTTTTGAGAAAAAGAAACCAAATATCCTTGACTACCAAGACTTACTGACAATTATAATACTTATATAGGACTATTTCTCATATATAAAATAAATCTAAATAGTAGTAGAAAAGTTATAGAAAAAATATTAAACAGTTTTTTACTTTACTCAAAAATCTGGAAATATGAGTTTTCCTCCCAATGCTTTCCTTTTTCAGGGTACAAACAGTACTGATAGATTGATTTGAAATAAATTTAGAATAGTAAAAATTAAAGAATATAATATAAAGAATAAATTAGATGAATATTAAATTAACTGAAACTATTTTTCATGCTTAAAGATGAAGTACCAGTAAATTTTAAAACACTCAACGCTAATAACTTGAAAACAGCACAACCATCTCCTAATGACAATTATCCTTAGAATGACAGTAATCCTAGACACATAACACAATGACTCGTCGAAGAATAAGACTCACTGCACACTTAAAAAACTATAAGGTATGAAGCTATCCCTGTCTTAACACTATGACTCGTCGAAGAGTAAGACTCACTGCACATTTAAGAAACTATAAGGTATGAAGCTATCACTGTCTTCCCAGTGATAGCAGTGATAGGGGCGGGGCGTGTTGTGACATTTTCCTTTGAAACTTTATGTATTTTATTTTTGAGTTATATAAATAAATAATGAGTTTAGTTTGTATAAAAGTTTCATTGACATTTCTGTCTTGAAGTCAATAAATGCTTTTAAAAAGTAGTTCTGCATAATGCATGCACATTCACTTTGATTCAAATTAATAAAAGCAAAAAATATTTTTTGTATTTTACCTTCTGGACTAAGTACAGCATCAGTAAACTGCTTTAGGGGAGTTGAAATATCAATGAAATCTTTGACAACCTAAAACAATGGAAACATTAAAAACACAATAAAAACAAGATGGCAACTTTAAATAAATTCAGTAGAAAATTGTGAAAATATCTCTAAGTTCGTCACACTAAATTGCAATTAAATACACTTAATAGTTAACTAGGTTTTCAAAACTTATCAAAGTAGAATACACTGAATTAACTGCTATATAGTTTAAAATAATTTATAAAATCCATCAAAATTATTTGTTTCCTTCAAAATCCATCATACTGCAAAAAAAAAGTTTTTAATTAATAAAAAGAGCAGGAATAAAATGTTCAATACTAACTTTTCTGCAGATTGTTTCTTGAACTTTGGATTTTAGTGTTTGGAGTTTCCCAGAAATGGCCTGTGCAATAGTTAAGGCTTCATAACTGTTACCCTAACAAATAAATAATATTGTAAGCTTTATATTGGGCTTAAATATACTTTAAAAACATAACAACTTATACCGAAAAGATAACTGAAATTAGAGTTAGAGCAATGGCTAACTTTCTAAAGATTAATATAGCTTACTTCTAGAGAGAATAACATAAGTATTTAATTATATCCTGAAAGTATAAAGAGTATATCACATTTAAAGCATTATAAATACAAACATTACTGCTAATTTACTTTTAAGTTTAGAAAAATATGAGTTCATCTCAAATTCTTGAAATAAGTTTTTAAAAGTCTATTGTATCATTACAATTTTCACAATCTTTTCACTAAAACAAGAGCTGTTTTTTCAAGTCCTTTTTAGAAAACGTTGCAACTTATAAGAAAGGTCTAAGGCACCATTTAAAAAGTGACTTAAAAAAACTATATCATAAATATAACTTCTGCCATGCAAATTTGTGAACTGAACTTTTCCTGCTTGTTGTATAACCTGTTGTGATATTACAATTTTAATCACTAATTTACAAAATTAAAAGCTTTTTCTGACTCTCATTTGTTGAAAAATATAGGACTCTGATGCTAGATATATACCACAGCATTACAATTGTGGTCACTTTTTCACAAGTAGTTTTGTTTCCCCCATAAAAACAAAGATTACTTATGCCTACCATTTATCAAAAAATGTATGATCCTGATGTTAAGTGTATGACACAATTTTAAAGAGTGGTACAACTATAATTAATATATTGCATTAAAATACAGGTTCTGCAATATATTATTGCTAAATGAATCTAAGTTTCATTTATCTCAATTTCTATAACTTTTTTTCCATAAATATCACCATTAACGAAGAACACTTTTACTATTAACTAAGAAAGGATAGTTTACTAGATCCTATAAAGCAAAAGTCGCTGGTGGAGAACTATATCATTTTTTACAGTGACCCCTTTAAAATATGTGGCAACTTTTTCACAACTTAAAAATTTTAAAGATTTAAAAAAAAAAAAAAACTTTAGATATTACTAATGTAAGGCATTTCTTTAAAACATTTCTCAAAATATGGTAAACACAATGTTCATTTTCAAAATGAAGAAAAATGCAAAAAAAAGCATGAAATTTTCAGATTATAAAACATTCAAAATAATTACACATTTATTAAAAGAAAATTATAATAAAATGCACATGGGAAGCATTTTGTTGACATGGATGGGGATAATAAATTTTTATGTATACCAGTTGCAAATCCTTTAAAAGTAAATTCAGTCACATTTTTACAATATCTCACTTAAAGCAATAATTTTTTAAAAATTAATTATTGAATTATTATTAGGTATAGTAAAAGTGTTTTTTTATAAAATTGATATACTTGATTAGAGCCTCTGACAATACAGGTTACAACTTTAAATAAAGTACTATAGTTAAATTTTAAAGTAATTGATATTGAAAGCTATTTTTTCAATATCTCTATTTCAAACATACTAATGAAATACTGCATCTCCTTTTGAGGCAAGATATTCTGAAGATCACAAATAATGGCATAAAATATAATAAGCTTTTTTGAGTTTTGGCAAAAATAACACATTCTAAAAAGAGTTGAATTTGTCCTTAATAGTCATTTTGTTTAAATAGTTTATCACCTAAATACGTTTATCCTTTAACTATTGAATCGTTGTATACTTTCTTGTTAGGTCAATCAAATATTTTATATCTTATAGCTTAACAAGTTTTAATATTTTCCTAAACTAATGCATAACCTTAAATGTGATGTTTTGAAGAGTTTTCAAAAAACTGTAACAAACCCACAATTTCTTCATCAGTTGCATCAGAACTTGCTGCTTTGCCTCTCACTATGATACAACTTGAAATTTTTTTGAAATGTAAATAGAATTTCTTAGGGGGATGTAGCAAATGTGATGGGACTCAAATAAGATAATAATTCTGGGATACAGGAGGGATAGATTGAGATTTGACAGTAATTGCTATCAAAACCAATACATAGAAATTATAATAAATAATTTTAAAAAATAAAGATCAGTTTAAAAAGTTTCCATGAAGGAATAACACTCATTTTCAAAAAATTATAGCAGTTTTCATATCATAAAAATCTAGGTCTTGTATCAGAAAAAAATATTTGTTTCAGATAAAAACATGTTTTATATAAAAAAAACTAAGTATGTATTAAGTAAGAAGCAAGTTTTATAGCTTAAAAAACCCTATTTTAGCAAGTAGACACAAATAACATGGTAAATAAGATTTTTTCAGATCCATTCAACACAATTTCTTAACAATATGAAACAAACAAAAACATAATTATTTTATTTTTTATTTTCCCAGAAAAAAACCCCAATATTTCTCTGAAGTTAATTTTATATTATTCTTTAAATTTTAAAAGTAAATAATGAACTATTAGTTTAGTATATCAAATTAAAAAATATACACAAATTTTACAACTAATCAAAAATAAAAACTGTGATCAAAAGTTTTTACTTTTGTAAATCTATTTTTAATTAATTAACATAGATTTGTTGTATAGATATATAGGTTTGCTCAACAAATCTAAGCTTATTAATTGAATCGAAGAGTTTGAAAATCAGTCATCTGGACTTTTTTTCAAAATTGAGATTCTTACATTTTTTGAGTTCAGCTGATACATAGCTAGGATATAAAAAATTCATGTCTACCTACTAATTATAGTATATTTTGCTACTTATTATAGTATATTTTGTGCGGCAAAAAAGTTCTATATATATCAAAGTGATACTTAATTATACAGTTTTTTTTGTTTCTCTTGTGAAATTAGTTTTGTTAGTGATAACTAGTAACTCATTGGCTCAATTTATTTAAATGTAATAAAACTGATATCATGGAGAAATTATCTGTAGCAGACAGACGAAACTGCTAGAAGAAGAAATTATCTGATATTTATCAGAAACTATAGTGAGAAATTTTCCTTTTAAACTAGATTATCACTATTTTTTTATTGCAATGTGTAGTTTTTTTTCTTTTTCTAGACAAAAGATTATTTTTACTCAATGAAATGAAAAATAGTAAATAAGAAACTATCATTTTTAAAAAACAATAGTAACATAAATAAAATTTAAGAGAGAAAAAAAATCACAAAATTTTCTTCCTCATTTAAGAAGGTGTCATCACATTTAAACAAAGTTGTATTTTGAAAATGATGAAATCTGGGGTAATAACTGCAAACTGCTTGTGCAGGAAGTTGCACGTGTGTTTTGATGTAAAAATGGTCAAAATAATAAATTTTTATCAGGTTTTTTGATTTAGCATAAATCAGTGCAGATCTGGGAGTCTTGCCATGATCTGATTTGTCAAGAAAAGAAAAAAACACTCTAATTGATGATGTGGCTGTAATTATAATCACTTAATTTAAAAAAAAAAGTTTTTCAATTTGTTTAGTAACATGTAACTTAAGAACAACCCATAGTCATTTCGGAAAGAAAACCAAATTAGAAAGAGGGAGTTATAGTATATATATTTTAGAAAATAACTATTTTTTATTCAAGGAAGATTACTAATTAAATTTTTTCCCATCAAAATATCATATAATACTTTTATATCATGAAAATTCAAAAAGTCTTTCAAATAAAAGAATTTGTTCAGAATCCAGCAACATTATGATTGGTCTTTCTCACAGGAAAAAATTCCGTCACAAAAAGTTAATAAATAAATTTTATTTACCTGACCATGGCGACACATATCAGATAGTTGTCTAGCTAGATTTTCCGTTTCTGAACACAGCTTTTGTATGGCAAGTTGTTCAACTAATGGACAGTTATTCGAATTTGCAATTTTTCTTGCATCATCAATTATTGATTGAACTGCTTGGAACCCTGAAACAAATTTTAAAACGTTAGTGTCATTAAACAACAAAAAAGTATAATGAAATTTCAAAAGTGCACACAAACTACAATAGTAACACCAAAGATATTAAAAAAGTTCTTATAATGAAAGTTTTTAACAAAAAATAGAGACAGATATGAAGAGAAAGAAATTTAGTATTTGGGGAAATATATGAGGTATCGGCCAGTAAATAATGCCTGTGTGTTGTGGATGAAAAGACTCCAGTGTCAGAATTTTTTCGGGCTTTCTGCGAAAAAACTCTAACGTATTTAGGTATAGGTACTTTCAATAATAACAAAGATGTATGTTACTAATTTAAAGTAACAAAAATGCCGAGTTAAAAAAACAACATAAAATTATTTTTATTGAATTATGGACGATATTCTTGAGTTTTATTGGGGAGAATAACGCACTAACTATTTCCTTTACAGCATTTTGTAAATCGTCATCACATTAAAAAAATAATTAAAAATCACGAAATCCACTTAACAGTAATTACCGAAAAACAGATCAACGACGAAAACATGTGACTCTTCAAAAAGGGGTTACTCAAATGTGTTTCATTTCAAGATTTGATTGTTGTAATAAATAATTTCAGATTTTAAGAGCTATATGGAAATCAAAAGCAATAATTGCCATAAAAAACTATAGAATCCTTGCCTTAAAAAGTAAATACAGTGCAGAACCTCTTATCCAGAAATCAGAAAAAAGGAAAACCAGATAACCGAAATGAAATTCGGAACCGGAAATGAATTTTCTTTCATTAAGAAATTTTTTTTCCCTGCAAGATTTTGAGCCCATTTCGTTATTTAGAGCGTACGGTGTATCGAGTTGACGAAAGAACTGATTTAGAGGACAGATCAAAAGCCGTTTGTAGACGAATCTCACATAAGCACAAATAGCTTATATATGTTATTAATGTTAATAATAACATATATAAGCCTGTATATAATTTTCATTTCATAATTTCCTTCCTTATTTAAACTTAAGTGTATTATTATTTATCATTTTTTATTATTTCCAAAACTATTTAAAAAAATTTTTTTAGTTTCGTTTTATAAACATTAAAAAAACGGCATTTTGTAGAGATTCAGAAAACCGGAAAAATCAGTTATCCGGAATCGCGATGGTCCCGATCGTTCCGGATAATCGGTTCTCTACTGCACAAATACTCAAATGTACGATTTGAATTTTCCATATCGTCTGAAATACATTAAGATAATTAAAAACCATGTGAAAATCAATAACTGCCAAAAATACAATCGAAACACTACATGGATTTATGATACTATTGGTATAAATTAAACGTGACCCAAAGTTGTTATTTAAATGTGCAATTCAATTTTTACACGTAAATTTTTGAAGAAAAGAAAACCAAAATTTTTTCTCCCCGAAAGAAAAATATTTCTGCAAGAACTCCTTAATGTTCTTTGACAATGTTGCCATGATTCTGCCAAAAGGGAAAAGACAAAATATAATTGACTCATTGAAGAAGTCAATTGGCAACTTTGTTAAAAAAGAGCTTAAAAGCTCTTATGAGAGAGATTTTCAACTAATTGTGCATCAAAAAATTTCGAAATATGGCACAAAATTTCAAGAAAACACCCATTGTTCAGAGCCGAGTTTTTTTAACAAGGGACATATTTGTTCCTTAAGAAGGAATCTTATAGTTTGAAGGGATATGAGTTTAGCTGGAATACACTTGATTTCTAATAAATGTTCCACTTGATTTCGAATGAATAACATTATTGTCAAGGGGAGAAAGATTCCTTTTGATCTCAAGAAAATAAATTTAGAATATGCTTTTTTATGAGAAGTTATATTTAATTTGAAATCCATTTAGTCTGGCTGTTGAAAAAGTTCTAGATGTTTTGCAAGGTAAATTTCTCGGATTGAAAATGATACTCAAGCAAAAGACAGGTTAGTAGCAAAATCAATCACAGAGTTTAAGTCTTTAATACACAAGATTGATCTATAAATGGCAGAACAAGCTATTAGGGCATTGTTTTAATTTATGTAAACTTATCATTACAAGTCCAGCATAAAATTAGTAAAAAAGTAAGGCTCAAACTACATAAGATCACAACAGCCACTAGAAATACTTTGCTTTCAATTTTTATCAAAGAGTAATGTCAATATTGATGTGATTTTAATGCTTTTTAATTAGTTTGTAGAAGCTGTATCTCCTTAACAATTAAAATATAAAATTTCAACATTCAAAATAACAGTACAGATTTTTTGTTTCATTATAAAATTTAGTTAAATTTAAATTTGGGTGTAACATTAATCTTTGCAAACAATAATAAAATGTAAAAGTGCTAATGTTTTTGCTTGATGTTTTCCTCCTATATCTTTTATCCTTTAATGACAGATTATTTAGGCATGGACACTCAAATCACCATTAAAAAATTAGGTCATAACATTTCAACACCAATCATTGCAAATAATGAAAAGTAAGAATGCCCATATTAACAATGCTTGATATTTTCTTACCAAGACCTTTATCATTTAATGAGGGATTATTGAGCCATGTGCGGGCTTGTTCCATACGGCCTGTCAAAGTATGTGCTGGCTGTTGAATGCTGTTTCTTTCAACATTGGTGATTCCTTGACTAACAAGGCCAATTAATTCCCTCAGTTTTTGACTAATACCTCTTGACAGTGCTTCTGCTGGGGCAGATGATCCCTAAAATAATTATGTACAGTAAAAAATAAGATAAGTGACAAACTGAGATTAGCAATCAGACATTAAACATAGTGGTAATAGCTATCATAAATTACTTTTTTCTGAACAAGGTTAATTTCAAATAATGTTAGACCAAAGATTATAAACCCTCACTATTTATAATTTTGATTATACTGCACATATAGATGTCTAGACTGGCTAAATTAAGTTTAACATACATAATCTAAAAACTACTGTAATATAGGAGCCTAATAAAATAAGATTATGCATGAATACATTCTAAATTAAGCTCAACATTAAAGCAACATACTTTTGCCACAACTAAAAACTTTCTTTTAAAATGCAAGGTGTGCATACTTAAAAAAATGTTATTATACTACGAAAATTTCAAATATTTTAGAGGAATATTTTTGTAGTCCTTGCATTTCAAATAAAAAAGTTCAATAACAGTTTTGACAGTTTAACAATAACAGTTTAGTCATGGTCAAAATTTGCGGCATTTTTTAACTTCATGTCTTATTTATTTTTGTTCAAACGAAAACAGTTTTACATTTTCAGTTTTAAAATTTTTTCTTCACATTTAAAATGAAATTTTCACTGTTAACTCTTTCATTCTTATTATCTAAAAGGAGCATAAACTAGAAAAAAAAGTATTTCAAATAATTATTATTTTCTCTTAAATATATCTTCATCATTTTTTATTAATTTAATTTTTTTCAGAATTTAAAAACAGCTTCTTAATCAAAGTCATAAAACAGTAATAAATTTTTTTTTTAACGAATACATGTTTAAGGGGAGTTCATTGATAGCAATAAGACCAATAGAGGAAGAGTTTTCCCTTTCCGTTAGAAATTGTGAAAAATATTATAATATATACATATAATATTTTTTATACAATACAAAGTCCTATATCTTGATGTCTTTTTACCAGAAAATCTATTTTGCAGATGCCTTTTAACAATAAAAATAACTAACACTTCTTCTTTTCTAAAAAAAACACTTGACACCTGTTAAAAAAAGGTATTAGAATTTTTTTTTACCCATTTCTTCTTGTTGCTTCTCCAACAGTTGAATATTCATTCTGTCTAAATAACCATGTTAAAAGAGTTGTTGAAAAATCAAGAACAGTTAAAGAAAAACGAACTTAATGCTAAAGAATAATCTAAAAATGAAACTGAATATTAATAGTTTCTGAAAGAAACAGCTGCAGACAGGCTTTGTTTCCCATTAAAATTACAGATGTATTTATTAAAGATCTATTTTCTGGCAAAAATCTATTTTAGAGACTTACTAAAGTCCTGACAATCCTGTACACGAGACTTTCCAACCCACTAGATAGAATCCTAAGCAAAGCGTAAATATAAATAAATATATACAAGGTCCGGCTATTAATTTCCAGGACTCATGGAATAACTCAGAAGAAAATAAAATTAAACGCATAGCCATTTAATATTATTCGAAGTAGTCCCCATCAGCCGTAATGCAAGTCTGTGCTCGGCTGTACAAATTTCGGAAAGAAGTTTTAAAGTCCTCTTTCGGAATGCTCTTATTAAAGAGTATAATGACGTTGCAGTCTTCTTGATGGCTTCAACATCTTGAAATCTTGTCAGCAAATTTTTCAGCTTAGGAAACAGTCTGCGGGTGCTAGGTCTGGAGAGTATGGTGGATGCTGCATCTTAACGACACCATGCTGGGCTAAGAATAGCCTCACAGGCAGCGCAATGTGTGGAAGCGAACTTTTTCAATTGCTTCGGGCGTGCGTAACGACTGCGGCCAACCTGTGTGTGGATCATCTTCCACGCTTTCGCGCAGTCCCGAAAGCTTTTAAACCACTCAAAAGTTCTTGAGCGACATAATGCTTCCTCGCCGTAAACTTGTTTTAACAATTTGTAGGTTTTCGCAGCTGTCTTGCCCAATTTGAAGCAACATTTAATGTTTATTCTTGCTCCGTTTTCACTTCGACAACAGGAATTTAAGAGCTCCGTTTTAATGCGCCTTTCTACGAGAACCACTTACTTCAGTATGGTGCCGATTGCACGGCACATGCGCAAGTAAGCACTCTTCAATATGCAATCATTAGCGCCATCTTCCGGCTTTGTCGTTCTCCTACAGTTACGTCAGTCCTGGAAATTAATAGCCGGATCTTGTATATATATATATATATATAAACAAATTTCTATGTAGCAGTTTTTGTTTCAGTAGGAACATTTTACAAATAAAGTTGGAAAGGAAAATGAAAGAAAATCGAGTCATAGGGATTAGAGTGGTAGAAAATCAAATTATAAGTTAATGTTTTTCTACCTTGTTCTATAAATTTTGTTGTTTTTAAAAATGTAATTATCTTGTAGGTTTTTTCAATTTTTAATTCTCTGCACAACTTCCAAGAAGCAACTGTTTTTTCATTCAGTAATTTTGGTATTTTATATTTAAAGTAATTTTAAAAATTTATAGTTCAAAAAATTTAGAACACTAATTTGATGAATGTTAATATAAAAAAGCAGCTGAACACTTAGATTATTTCGTATTGTGATGAAGTAAAAATACATAAATTTGGCAAAGAAAAGTTTAAATAAGAGTTAAAGTTACCTTTCCATCTGTTCTTAGTTCACACAAAGCATTAGTCATGGCTGTAATGTCACCACACATTTTATGAATTGCTTGGCTGTCAGGGGGAAGACATCTATCAGCAATGCGCTTTGCATAATCTAATATATATCTCATTGATTTTTCACCAACGCCACCAACCACAGTATTTGGGTCTTCGAGAAAATCATGAGCAGTTGCTAATTTTCCATCAATAGCATTCTTTAAAACAGAAAAATTAAAATCATAAATGCATCTTAAAGCTTAATACTTTTATGTCTTGCAAAAACAAAAAAAGAGAATTGCTGTATTATGGGCAATTGAAACACTGTTTAAAAAATTTATTTATATTTATGAAAATCAAATTTAGCTTTTTTTATTTTCAAACTCAAAAGTTTTTACTTCAAACTTTTTCTCCCAATAAATAATATGAGGTGAATGGTGGAAAGTGGATTTATAAGTTTAAGAAGTATAAAAATCTCATGACTAAATCCACAATATAATGCAGTCATCAGCTAAACACAGCAAGTCTAAACAGCAATGATTAAGATATGTCTTGCTCCAAAGCATTATGTTCATAATTATTTTTATTACTGAAGATTAGCCTGTTATCAACAATGTCTTAAACACACCATGAATTCAGTTTTCATTTTACGATATACACTAGTAGTATAATGATTGTAATAATGCTGACAGCAAATAATTTTATTTTAAACTGGTAAAACCAATTTGCACTGCCATTTAATTTCTAAACATTAACATTGTAAAATTAAATAAATTCAACAAAGAAAGAAAAACAAACTATAATGAGATATTTCTAATTCCATTTTTAAAGTAGGTTTTAAAAATAAACAAATACTAGTTTTTTTACACTTATTTAGGATATTGAAGAATTTTCGATTGTTTTGTAAGCCTCCTTTTTTAAATTAAAAACAAAAACATTAGCAAGTAAATAATAAAAAAAAATATTAGCCTTGGTTAAAACATTAGCAAGTAAATGAAAAATAACGATTTTATAAACTTATAATATGGATATCATTATTTGACAGAATTGTGCTCATGTTGCTGTTGTTGTGTCCAATCCTTCAGGATCTAGCGACAGCTAGATCAAATCCATGAACTCTAGCTAAGTCAAGCACCAGAAGTGGGCTATCACGGATATCCGCAAGAGCGAGCCCCAAGCAATCGAGGATATGATGGGGGGAGGCCGGCATCTGGTGGCACTTGGTGCACGATGGGAAGAGTATTGTGCTCATGTTTCACTTATATCATTTGATAAGTATAATTATATTTCACAAAATGAATATATAATGGGATAATTGATGATTATATATATACATCTAAATCATTTTGGTAAATATTGTATTTAGGGCACAATGAAAGTTAAACCATAAGCCAATGTCATGTAAATATTTGTAAAAATTTATATAGTTAGCTAAAATGGGTCTAAACTTTCATGATTGAAAATACATGATATATATTTTATAAATATATACCGTAATTTATGGAAGAAACGCCGCACCTATCGTAAACGCCGCACTTGTGATAATGAGACTTAAAAGAAAAAAAATCATGGTAAACGCCGCACATGTTGTAAACGCCGCACCCATAATAACGATTTAGCGGCAAAAGTGAATATATAACATTAATTCCTTATAAATACTACTAATGTTTTAAATTAAAATAAAAATTTATAAATGTATAATTATAATAAAATCAAGAATGTTAATCTGCTATTGTATATTTTGGACAAACTGCTCAGAACATGTTAAAATCGGCTGTTGGTGCCATCGTTAGGTAAAAAATTTAAATAACTATATTTATATTACTTGAGTATAAATGATTTTTTTATATTACAGTATAGGACCCAAAATTCGGCACTCACGGGACCGACGAAATTCCGTATTTCGTAATTTACAGAATTTCGGATCTCTTCCGGAATTTCCAATATGGCGCCCGTATATTACAATAATTCAAATACGCTGTTAATTTCAGAAAAACCAAAGCTTTGTTTCAATTGTAGATTTTGGTGGGTTGAATTTAAAACTGTCCCATTTTTAGAAATTTCATTAATTAAAATAATAATCTATAAGATATAATCAAGAAGAAATAATCGGAAGGATAAATAATTCAAGATGAAATAATCCGAAAAAGAAATAATCGTTTCTTCTTCAGATCAAGATCATTGTTCTCGTTTTCTCTTTTACATAACGTTTTGTTTTAACAAAAGACGCTCACCCCGGGAAAAAAAAAAGCTAACAAGGAACTACAAAAAAAGTAACAATTAATACCAAGAAACTAACAATGAATAACTACAAAAAAGAAGCAAACAACTAATAACGATAAAAAAAACCAAGTAAACAAGTGTAACAATAAAAAAGTAACAGTTAATAAGCAATAAAAAGATAAATAAATCGAATTTAAAAAAAAAAGCAGCAAAAGGGATAGAATTCATTTTGTACACCAAGTGAGAAAGAAGTTTCAATGTCAAAAGGGTGTGGCTAATTTATGGTCAAACAGAAGAGGGAAATGTGGGGGGACAAAGCAGTAAAGCATTTGCACAGTTGTCAAGATTGATTCATCAGTTTCTCCCAACTTGCATTTATTTATTTTGTTCATTGGAAATGCAGATGTTTTTACTTTTCAATTTCACTTTATTTTAAACTGCTTTAGGAACAGATGTTTTGTTTGACACAGATTTATTATTTTTTCTCTTCATGTTTTTATTTTTAAAAGACAAAATATAGTTACTTACTTCAAGAGAAAAAAATTCCAAATCAAAAGAAAATATGACTGATTTTTTTTTCTCTTATCAAAAAAATTTCTTGAAAAAAAAAAAAAAATTTTTTTTCGGATTAAGTGCCGAATTTCGGAATCCATACTGTACTACATATCTACATTTTATAAATATATTTTTTTAATTTAATATATTTATTTTTTGGAAATATACCTCTTTTATTTAAATAAGAAGATATCAGTTTATAAGTCGCGTCCATAACAACGATGTATAAATATTAGCAAATACTAAAAAGAAAACTTTCCGCAATTTAATTTCTCCACAAAGCACGTTGTAACAAAGTGAGAAAAAATTTGAAAGAGCTATCAACCCACTTTCTTTAAGGGGTGGTGGGTTATCAATAGTGGCGCCATCTTTTGCCATAACTCGCAACTATTTTGATTAAAAAAAAATTTTTTCTTTGAAAAATGTAAATTTTATTTTTAAAATATCGCAAACGCCGCAATTAAAATTTTAAAACTTTTAAACTCGCAAACGCCGCGGCGTTTCTTCCATAAATTACGGTATGTTGTTTCCAGGAAAAAACATATATATTTATAAAATTTTAAATCAATTTAAAAACACTTACTAAAGCTTTTTTCATCACAGTCAAGTTGTCTGCATCCCATGCTTCCTCGTCGTAATTGGTTAACAACAAAACTCTTATTATTTCATTAATCTCATCTGACATACGAACAGCAAGATAATTGCGATTTTCTGCAGCATCTTCAACTCCTTTGCCACCTGTTCACAGTAAGAAAAAAAAATTCGTACAACTCACCCACAAACTTACAAATGAAAAAATACACTTCAACCAGCAATTTTTTTGTATATCAAAAAAATTTTTTGTAGTTGTTTTATAAAAAATGTTGAATAGAAAAAATACCATCTCAAATTTTCTGATTTAAAAACACAATAGATGGTAAAATTGATAATAAAAATAGTATTATAATAGACTTGAGCATAGAAAACATAGCCAACTTATTTAGAATCATGACAAAAGCTCCTTTGTAGCAACCTAAAAACCAATTTAAAACGCAATCAGAAGGCTATTTAAAATTTTTTTTTTCTCCATTAAATACTGTCTTAGCTAAACACTTAAAAATAAAATATTAATATTTTTTTTTAATGCTGACAATAAAATGCTTTTGTAACCAAAATGTTACTGAATGTCACTAAATACCTCTTCCACTAAATTCCTTAATTATTATTTTTAATTAAATAGTAAAAATTACAATAAGTACAGTTTGTTAATGATAGACAATAGTTATGTGAGACTATAGAAGAAAGAATATTTAATAATCATTTATTGTATACATAAAGGTATAAAAATTATACTTATAGAACTCAATTTTAAATTGAGGATTTATCAAGTTTTCTGTATTGCACGCTCTGTAAAAAATGAAATTTCAATATTTTTTGTTACTAAACTTTCAGACGGTTTTGTATTGGACAAATTCAGAAGAATGTTTATTGTTTATATATTGCCGAATAAGAAATAACATGTTTTGCAATTGTATGAAAACTGCAGGTCCAAATTCAACTAGTACAAGAGTCAAACCTGTTATATAATGATCAGAGGTTTAATAAAGGCTAGCAATTTTGGGAAACAATATACTTAATGCTAAAAGTTAATTCTCAAAAATTAAACTATTTTCACTCATTTACAAAAGAATATTTTCACAAAAAATAGAAATATTAATAATGAGCAAGAATGTTATTTTACTCACCTTGGCTTAGAATTTGAACAAATATTTTCATACTGCATATTAAAATTGGTGACAGCGATTTCACAGATTCCAACGATCGAACCAAAATATCCCGATGTGCTTGATGAACAAGCTCTTTTTCACGGGCATCTACTTCTCTTGATACTTTTGTTAAGCATGGACTCAGATCCTAAAAAATAAAAAACTATGCAAAACAACGATACTTTCAGTCCATTATAAAAACTGGTAGTAAGTTGAAACAAAATTCATCATAAAAGATAACATTTTTTCACAATAGCTTATCATTTAACATATGTCAGTAAAACATTTTAGAAGTTTCTGAAAATATTGTTAAGAAAGCCTGAAATGAGGCTATTTGTAATTCAGTAGTAATACTTTTATTGGAATAGGTATTGCAGCGCAAGCAAAAATATACTTATGCTGGCAAATTCAAAAAAACAAATTGTACATTCATGATGGCAATAATAACACATTTTACGTTTTATGTATGTTTTATAAGATAAAGTTTGGAATGTGCATCTAATTCACCGTCCACATCATAAAGCTAATGGAAAATAAACACTTTATATAAATGTATAAAGGTGTGAGAATCAACAGAGAAGAGAAAAACTATTAATCACTCATGGTTATTAAATATCTTACTATTAACTTACATTTAAGAATAAATGGCAAAGTTAGGTAAAATGTTATAAATGGCATTGAAACAGAACTTATACTAAATACACAATAACTATGAAACAAAGCAGAAGAATGTCATGCAGTTACATTACTTTAATTATTAAATGTGGGAAAACCTATTATAATTTGTAAAGTAATAATATTACATGTAATATATTACATGTAATTAAGTAATAATATTATATTGATTTCATGAGCTTGTAGCATTTTAAAATGGGTATCACTATTGAAATATTTGCAAGGATTGCCAGATATTGCTGTTGCTATTCACCTTATTTTTCATAGCATACTATGACATATCTATTTATTGAGCATGAATCTGATTTACAGAGATATATAGGAAAATTTTTCACATAATATCCACTAGGTAAAAGTTAAAATTTTATACATATATATATATACAGTGGAACCCATTTAAGAAGTTTCTCAAGGGAGTGGAAAGAAATGGCTTATTAAACGGGAAAACGTTTTAAACAGTAAAGGTTAAAAACTAAAAATTTGCAAAATTTTATAACTTATATTACAGAATCAACATAATGGAATAAATATTTAATTTTACTATTCATTAAGAATAAAAATAGCTAATAAATAAAAACAAAATTACCTATTTCATTTTTTATTTAATCCAATGTTATTTATACAGAGATGCACACATTTTTACAATTATTGATGCGACTTTTATGAAAAAAAATCATGTAAAGTAGTTTGTTTTTTCTCACCGACCTTTAACTGAAAATTGTCCAACTGTTGTAAATATTTGAAAATTTTTGGGGTCACATTTTCAACACTGTAAATGAATTTGCGAAACGTTTCCAACCCTTTTCTGGCAACAGAAAGACAAAGTTTACAAAAATCTTCTTCAGCTCACTCAATTCTTCTGTGTCATTTGTAGCATCACACAAATATCCTCTAATGTAAGCACATCACTAGGTAAAATTTCGTTGTCAACCTATTCATATTTTTCAAACGATGAAGTGAAATTAAGTTTATTTTGGAGCAACTTCCAATCATTATCAAAATTTACATTTGTTTCTTCATTTGACATTTCATCTTCATCTTCACAGTCATACTCTTTAGTTGTATCTCCATCAGAGAATCCAGCTTTTTGAAAACAATTAGCAATTACAGATATTGTTATTAATTCCCATGCTAATATAATAAACTGAATAGCTTCTAAAACATTGACTTTTTTTCTTTTAGCTCTCCTGTATTTTTCAAGTCCTTGCAGCATCGGTTTCACAAGTTACATTTTATGATGCTGCTTAAACACCTTGATATCTCCCTGATCCATAGGTTGTAGGAAAGAAGTACAGTTTGGTGATGATGCATGAATCATCAGGCGTTCCGATTTTCATTTATGGTGGACACAATGTCCAAGCAATTTTTCACGTTCTTATTAGTTTCATTGTTCATTTAATGGTTCCTTTGCTCACACCTGCTCCTGATAAATCACCCTCTTTTTGTAATGGGGAGCAAGGAAGGTCAGTGGTCATTGTTAATTTCACATAGTTTATGTACCCGTTTTTGTGAGGGAAAGGTAAAACTAGATAAGTTTTAATAAAAAGTTTTAAAAAAAATGAAGAAAATTGGAAGTGAGTGAAAACTTCTTACACGGGAAAAAAACTACTTATAAAGGCAAATTTAACATTCTGGTATTTTTTATATTTTTTTAGAAATAACTTCTAAAGCGGGAAAACTTTTTAAATGGGAACTTCTTAAATGGGTTCTACTGCATATATACATTCTGTAATCCACATATGACAAAGATGATTTAATCAGAATGAAAATTAAATCAGTTCATTGAAATTTTTTAAATATGTATCAAAGAAAAATTAACGCTTACAAAGTTTTTATTTTTAAATAACATGAAAAAGATTTTTAAAAAAAACTGTCCTGAAAGACAATGACTCATTAAGGATTAGAAATTATTAAAATGAAATTTTTCTGTAGTTTAAGATCTTATTATGTAGTTTAAGATCTTATAAGAAAATATTAAAGTGTTAACTCAATAACAGGACAGTTATTGTTGTTACTTTACGTCGCACTAGAGCTGCACAATGGGCTACAATAACAGGACAAACCCTAGAAGTGTGTTCAGCATTTGTAATTAAATGAAATTTTAAAGATAAAATACTTTTAACATTGCTATGGTTTGGGATTAAAAAAAAATTTGACTTTAAACACTATTTAATATTTCACAAACTATAAGAACATGTTATTTCTAGGAATAATTATTAGAATTAACTTAAAAGACCTATAGTCTAGCATTTTTAAGAAACATCCTGCTTTTATTCGATTTGCATAAAAAATTTCGATTTGCACAGCTGTATAAAATTCAATTGCACAAAACATTTAAAAATTTTAGATAAAAGTATTTTAATTATTGATGAATATGCACAAGAGTTTAAAAATCTTTAACATAAATATAATGAAAGTAACTCAAAAAAGCATCACATCACAATGAAATAATAATAATAATAATGAATTAGTAATAAAGCTTTATTTACTTTAACAAACTGTACTAAGTCAGTCATATTTTCTATGACCTCAGCAACTGCTAAATAGTCTAGAACTTTTTTGCACTCTCCAATGATTTTACGCACTTCTGATTCATCAAAAGCCAGAAGAACAGAGTATGTATCTTGCATAATACCTAAAAACAACATCACTTTTAATTTCCATAAAAAAAACTTTAGAGTCTTAACTTTTTCATTTGTCCAAACAGAAAAACAAAACAGATTAATTCCATGCTATATGCAATTCTTAAAGTACACAATGCTCAGTAAAAGTATGTTTAATTGATATATAAAGAAAAAGGAAAACAATGGAAATAAAAATATGGCCACCGAAGCAGACGTCTTCATGGGGTGCCAGCTCGGGAAGCCAGAGAACAAAACCTTTTCTATTGAGAGAGCCAGACAAATGTCAAAATTTGCTCTCTCAGTACCCCAAAGGTTTTGCAAAAGTCCAGGAAGAAATACAAGAAATACATAAAATCAAATCAGAAGAGAAATTTCAAACAAAATCTTGAGAATATAATACAAAAATGAAAATACAAAAACTCACAGTAAACTGGTCAAACAGCAATTTCATGAAACTAACTCAATGTAAAAGAAACATTTGAAATAAAAGAAAACAACGCCCTCTATTAAAACGCGCAGTAGGAAGAAAAAAAAGGATAGGAAAGGTAAAGATTACGTAACAGATTAATATAATGTTTAAGTGGGTCTGCTCAGTCAAGACTTTAATTTTGCCCTATTAAAAGAAATAATAAACTAATATTCCTCAATTATTCTCCTAATCAAAAATTTAACATAACAATAATTATAAGGAAAATCATTATTTCTCAAAAAATAATTCGTAGCCTCCTGAAAACATTCATCGTTATTGCAAATTTTTTTAACTCTAAACAATTGAGAAAAAACTAAATTTTTGGAAATAAATGTTTTGTTTTCTTTTATCTTAAATGTTTTTCTTACATTGAGTTAGTTTCACGAAATTGCTGTTTGACCAGTTTACTGTGAGTTTTTGTATTTTCATTTTTGTATTATATTCTCAAGATTTTGTTTGAAATTTCTCTTCTGATTTGATTTTATGCATTTCTTGTATTTCTTCCTGGAGTTTTTTAAAACCTTCGAGGTACTGAGAGAGCAAATTTTGGTTATTGTCTGGCTCTTTTAATAGAAAAGGTTTTGTTCTCTGGCTTCCGGAGCTGGTACCCCCTGAAGACGTCGGCTTCGGTGGCCATATTTTTATATCTATTGTTTTATTTTTTCTTCATTGCGTCAATTATTCTTTCTTTTGAAAATTCTGCTGCTTTGTGCGATTCTTTCAAAGAAAGTTCTGTTATTATAGAATTAAATATTTTGTATTCTTTTACTTAATTGATATAATAATTTATAAGCCAATAAGAAAACGGATAAAAAACAATAGAGGTATCAATTATTTGAGATTAGGGTTAAGCGTTGCCAAAAAGATATTTAAAAGAGAACATTATGTTAGAGACGCTTATAATTGTTTTTTTTTTAATTGATTGACCAAACTTACAATTAAATACCAGAAAGGCCAATTAAGTAAAATTCCGAAGAAGCAAAATCAAAGGATGGTAGAAACTATGTTTTGATGCAAAAAAAAAGTAAAAGAAGGGAAAAAATAAAAAGCTTGAAAGCTTATTAGATCACTTCAAGTTTCTGTAGCTATCAATAAATAAACAATCTGAGAAGACTTGCTTGCTCTAAAAAATATGTACTATATGCATGCATAAAAATATGTATAAATGTTAAAAATAATAAAAAAAATTTTCTTCTCAAAAAGTATTTTTGAAAGCTTATTTGTGTAGAACACAAGTTAAATAATGTCTTTAAAACATACATCATTATTTTGCAATACAGCTTCTTAGCCAATATAATTATTTTTTTTACCATAAAAATCAAACAAAATATGCTTTTCTGACAAAGAAATATTCTTCTCACACCTCAAAGTATGAATTAAATTCAATTTACATGCTATGGAGCATTTGCTGTAGTGTACTTTAAATGCAGCAATAAATCATAACTAACCAATGGTGCATATGGTCAATAAAATCACACACATCAATGTTTAATATTTTAAGAATGTAAACTGTGCATTTCTAGAACAACATAACTTCATTTACAATTATGAATTTCAATATATTTCCATATTGAAGATATAGTGAATTTATATATTTTTCCTGGTTAATAACATAATGGAAATTAAGTATGCATATAACTATATATTGACTTATAGATAGCTGTAAATATTCAAAAGTATCGTTGATTTGCTTTTTTTTAAAATTTTTTTTCTTAAATTCGTAAACTACACACTGTAGGAAGTCTAAGTTCCTTCCCTTATAAGCCTAATGTAAATCTTAAAAGATTTATGTAAAAAAAGACGAATTACAATAAACAAAATTATAATAATAGTTTTATCAACCTTTAGCTCCTTGGATCAATTTTTTTCTTGCAGGCTGTGAATATGGGTCTTTTGCAAATAATGCAGAAGCTTCTTCTAACAGCTTGGAGGCTTTCTCTAGTCTATGTAAAGCAGTGGGCATATCCTGTCTCAAGATGGGATCATCACTAGACTGAACAGTTTCTTTTCCAACCTAATAAATAAGCTCCCATTACAAATTGGAAAAAAATAAATACTAATTGAACAAATTCAAATTAAAAAAAAATTTCACAACAATAATAAAAATGCATCAGGTAGCAATTTCAGCATATCTTTAATAGTTTGTATCATTTACTTTTTAAAATTTAGAATTTCCCATGAAAAATCTGTTAAGTATTTTAAAGCTTTTGTAAATCAAGTAAGTATTATGTGATTAACACTTTACTACTTATTATGCTCAGAAAAATTAATATAATTGACAAAAAAAAAAAAAAAANAAAAAAAAAAAAAAAAAAAAAAAAAAAAAAAAAAAAAAAAAAAAAACTTGGGAAAATGTATAAAAAAAGTTGAGGCTGGTTATTTTAATATATAATTCTAGTATTAATTCTTGGGTTTACAACTTAAATTGATGTAAAGTTGCAAATACTGCCTAATCTAACAATAGAATGGATTTTCAAAGCAATTAAAATGAAATCTTATGTAAGATGACTTTCTGAAACAGTTGCTTTCATTATTTATATAACATACATTTATTTACAATTGAAATGAAAGACTTATAACATGTCAGATATATCAAAGAATCCTAATTTAATATTTATTTCACTTATAATTTTCTTTTGCTATGTAAGATAAGATCTGTTAAAAATATGAAAAGATAGAAACAAAATAATTTTTAATCATGAACAGTATTTTGAAAATTAAACAACTGAGTTCATCACATTATTGCAGAAACATATCATTAAGTTTAATTTTTTAAAATTAAAAACTAGTGAGTACAACAAAATAGGGTGACTTTTTATCATGACAGAGTTGTCATTTCTATGATTACTGATACATGTTTATCAAAAACAGTAATTTGTTTCGTGTTTCTTTTGTTTTCTGCGATGAGCTTCATAAATTCTTACAGGGAGAAGTTATCTACTCTATTGTTATTGACAAGGTAAGTTACTATTCAGTTTCCTAATATGATGAACGTAGCATATTTACAAATAGAAACCTTTGTCTTTTACTAATTTTATGTAGGTTAAGGTAAAAATTTATATTGCAATTAGGACGGTGGCTTTGTGCCATTTAGTGGTTATATATGATGAGGGGAGCAATCATGATTTTGAAGACAAAATTGATGAGGGTAATTTTTGCTCTAAAATTGCAATTAGTAGAAAAGGTTTAGATTAATGAAACAAACAGAACTAATGATAAAATTATAGGACTAAGAATATATGCATTGTTACTGTTCTTCTGTATATTGCAGCAAACTGTACCCTTAAAAAATATTTGCATACGCTGATGAGTGTGAAGTGGCACCAGTTTTTGGTACAGTTAAAGTAGGCCTGACCAATTGTTGTTGTATAGTACAATAGAAAAGGTTAAAAATCAAAAAATGGTTCCATTTCCTGGGTCTGACCAGGCCAAATTTACAACCGTTTAGCAGTACCTTCACTAATTAAACTTTAGGAAAAATGGTAGTTTCATGAAATGCTTTTTTGTAAAATTTTATTTTTGTATCCCGTAAGAAGCGATAAATCCATATTTTTACCATATTTTAAATATATTTTTAATTTTCACAAATTATATCAAAAATTTCACAAAATAGGTACCTCACAAAAAAACCTAGACAGACCCCTGACTTCAAAATGAAATCACTGAACAATGATGTGAAATTGTTCAGTGTTCAATGTTGATTTCAATGGTTCATCATAAACAATAATGTAGTTAATAATATATATTTATTCATAATAAATTCAATACTCTTCTATAGATTATTTTTATTTACATTACAAAATAATAAAAAAATAGTAAAAACAGACAATAAAAAACTAAAATTTTAGAAGTATTTAAAAAATTTTAATAACGAACCTCGATATCTAACAGGTTACCATGTGCCAGAATAGAGATTCAGTTTATTTTAAAGTGACAAGTAAGATAAAACAAAGTTTATCACATTCTTCTAACAGAAATATTTTGATATACCATTAAAATACCATGTTAGTAAGTAAAATCACACTCTGGTGAATATTCCTAATAATTAGACTGAAAGGAATTGAAAAATTTGTATTAAACTATTATCTTCATTCGGTGTTAGGAATAATAAGTATCTCACAAATAATAAAAATAAATATTTTTAAACAAGTAATCAATAATTACATAGCATACAAAGTATTTATATTTTATAAAAAAAAAATCTACTACAAACCTTAACAAGATTGACCACTGCTTTACTGACACCTTGGACAGGCCTTGACAAATCTGGCATTGCATTTCCATCTTCAGCTTCTTCATGCAATATAACAAGGCGAGAGACCTATAAAAAATAATTCAAAATAAATAACAAACTCAACAAAAACCAGGTCGGTTTTTTCAGGCTGGGACCACTTTAGCAAATCCTGCTTCTTAAGTTGATACAAAAAATTGAAACTTCACTGTGAATTATCCGATTTTTATTTTTAAATTGAAGAACTTTTCCTTAAATGAGTTCACGGGATAAATTTATATTCTTTCATAGAATGACATTTGTACTTTTTATTAAATGTTTGTTTCTATCTAAATAATAACACTGGGGAACAAATCTTTATTGCTTTCTGTTGTATGAGGATTTTGAATGAATTTTAGACATTTTGACATTGACAATTTTACATCTTCGATCATTGACCTCTCTTTAAGCTATAGTTTTTCTGAAAATTAATAATATAATTGTCAACCAGGAATTTTTAAAATTCACTGGAGTGAATATTAAGGGTCCCCACTTCTCTGCTACACAAGGCATGGTAGGAGGTAGGTGAAAATTCAGTTTGCAATACGTTAAGCTAATAAATGCTTTGTTTCAAGTGTTATTTTCAAAGAAACAAACAAGTGTATAGGTATGTATGAAAACCTATGTGGTCTTTATAATCTTGTACATTCAGATAAAAAAATATACAAAATCAAAAATCTCATTTAGAAAATAATCTGCAGCTTTCCAAATGAAACACTTTTCAGATTTAAACTCTCCACATCCAAATTAAATTAGATAGACTTTTATAAATGCAAAAATAAAAGAAAAAAACTAATGCATATATTTAGAAATGGAAACACAGAATTGGGTCAGCTGTTCAATGCCGGTTATAGAATAAAATGAAATATTGTTAATATATGAAACAAGAGAATTGAAACCTTTGCAATTAGCTGGATATGTTATTAGCATATTAATCTGAAACATCTTAAAGCTTAAGCTAGAAGTCAATCAAAATTAAAACTTTTTCGTCTTAAAACCCAAGCATAAATCAAAATTGAAAAGTGAGGTTCTACATTTCAAAATTAGCATAGAATATAACAAAAGTAAGTCTATTTAATTTAAGTCGTCTGTTTTTATTTAAGTAGCATTTTTTTAAAAATACATAAATTAACATTTTTCTCTTTTCCCAAACACAATTATTGCATAACAAAATGTTAATTTTCAAACTAATAACAAAAATAACAATTTCCATTCATGCATAAAATCTTATTAGAAAGTTTAAATTTCAACACAAACTTCAAATTATATCATACAATCATTATTAGAAATTAGTGTTGAATTCTAGTGCAGTAATTCAAAAGAAACCCCTTCCATATAAATGTCTTCCACAAACATTTGTCTATGTATAACCTTGATGAGGAATTCTAATGCAGAACAAGCTTACATATCCACAGAGTTCTCCCTAGGAATAAAGAAGGGCAGAACGCGTCCTCTCTCAAAAGCGCACAATAAGTTTTGAAACAGCACTCACTTAACTTTGTAAAAACTTTACAAACTGTTTAATATTATGTAATAACTAAATTTTATCCTCAACAATTTTTAAATTACACTCTTATACTACTTTATGGGAATATTATTTCAAAAAGTAATTCTCTCTCACTATTAAAATAAGAAAAAAATTTGTAGTTTATAAAAACAATTAAAGGCATGCTAAAAGGCAATCTCTGTGAAAATTTAAAATCACTTAAAAAATTTATTAATATCCCTCCTTGAAAAAAAAATACTTATAAAAATTTAAACAGTCAAGAATAATTCTAAAAAAGTAAATATTTGTAATAGTAAATAGAATTAACCTATAAACACAGATAATTTTATTAGTCTGTAATTATTATTTACATAGCAAATTAACAATACGGGCACATTTATTAGGATCAAATGGCAAGCAGGGTGGGCCGCCCTTCAAAACACGCTTGCCCCTTCAAAAAAAAAACACTGTTGACATATACATATATTCTGAGTTCTCCCTAGAAATAAAAAAAGGGCAAGGTGCTTCCTCACAGAAAAGCGTGCTTAGAGTTTTGAAAGGGCACTCCCTTACCACCGTTAAAATTTATCAAAATATGCAATATTGTATATTAACTGAATTTCATCCTCAATTTTTAAATTACCTTTTTATAAAATTTTATAAGTATATTTTGCAAAGTAACTCTCACTCATTGTTAAAATAAATTAAAAATTAAAGTTAAATAATTATCAGTCCCTAAATAAATCAGAAGTGAACTTTTCATTAAAACAGGTGGTTAAGAAAACCTTTACCTGAAAAAATAAAATAAAAAGGCTATGTTTTTATGGGATAGAGGCTTATTTTTGCTAAAAGGGCATATTTATAGGGATCAAAGGGCAAGCGGGTAGGGCTGCCTTTTTAAAAAGGTTTAAGGAGAACACACACACATACACATATATTAATATTATATTTATATTAAACATTAGTAATGAATGAAATTTTTTGTTGTGTATGTATTTAGACTCTATACTAATTAAAATAAATTTGTACCAAATATATATTTGTTTAATAGATTAAATATTCTTTAAATAAATATTTATAAGTTAAACTCAGTCATAAATTTATTTTTATCAATGCCTTACATAATACAATGACTATTCCATTTGCAATCTCATAATATTTTTCCTCAAAAAGAGCCATGTAATTAATTTGCTTAATACCATAAAAGACTTATTAGATTTTAAAAATTTTTGTGATGATTTTTATTTCTAATAAACATGAAGCTCAACGAGATTTCAAAACCATTGTAAAAGCCCTAAAACTTCTATTAACATTTATGAAAAGAAATTATTATAATACTTGAGAAATTTTTAAATCTTTCTTTAGAATTAAATATACATAATGTATTTTAAATGGAAAATAGAGGAAAAAAAGTGATATTCGATCATGATATCTTATAAAAAAGAAAGACCGTTGAAATGTTAAGGCCTGATGGGAAAAACTTTGCAGCTGTGCATTGACCCAACTTCCTAATTTTACCTATTATCTTCTTTTGCTTCAAGCTACAGGTGCTTGTTATTCTTAGTTTTTGTAACTATCAACAAAATAGCTAAAATTTACTGAGTTGTTAAATTGGTAAAAATATAACATATTTACTAATTTAAATTTGTATATTTGATGCTTCCAATTTTTTCAATATTTAAAATTTGTTTTTTAATGCTACTTAACATTTACAATTTTATGAATTTTTTTTTTTGCTGTCGTAGAAGCTTTACAGCAATTATTTTTCTAGTAAAATTCCTCAAAACTATCTTTTCGACTTTGAATAAAACAGGCTAAATTGGAATTTATTTTTGGAAAAAGTTTTGATAATACTGAATGTATAGTTAGTTTTGGCGGATTTGTTAAAAGTAGGGTCTTAAGTTACAAAAGAGCCCATTCATAACTTAATTCATTCCTGATTTAGCTTGTTAATCAACTGTTTGTAGAAGAATCTCATTTTTTTTAAAAACTATTTTCCATAAAGTTTTTTGTACTTTAGTTAAGTAATTGCACCTTTTAAAACAATAAGCTGTTTGATAATTTCTTCAAATCTGAGAAAAATTTAAAAAAAAAAACTTATATAATTTAAATGTTTTACAAAATAATGAGCTTAAATAAGACTATGAAGTGCATAGAAATAAAAATGAAAGAAATAAAAAAAAAATTTAAATATTAGGGGCAAGATATTATCGTATGACAAATTAAAGAATTGAATGATTAACATCCTATGTATTCTTGTATTTTTTAATTTGTAAAAAATTGACAAAATCAAATAATGGATCTGTCTGTTTCTAACGTAAGGATTCATTCACAATAGTTTTTATCGTAAAGATTTTGTTGAGTCAATAAAAACGTTGAGCATTTTCCAACAGAGTATAAAATAAGAAATTTTCATTAAGTTCCATTAAAACATAATTACAAAAGATTATTAGGTATTAATACTTTTATGCAATTTAAACTGGCAAAAAGTGATCTTTTAGTATATTTATATATCAGGATAATAGGTTATCTAAAGGATAAAATTTTTTATTAACCGCAAAATAAAGAAAAATAATCAAAACATCTCACTTGTTGTGCAACTGGTTCAAGTATACTTTCGATTGTTTTAGTATGAAAGCCTGACATGATTCGTTTCAAAAATAAAGTGAACCGATCAAATTAAAATCATAAACTGAAAATTCTTTAAGACAAAAGTGAAGAAAAAAAAGAAACAAATAAACAGAAACTATATCACAACCACAGGTGTGGTTCGCTACCAACCCATCTGCCTACAAGTCATCGTAGTGTCAAACCATAAATGGAAACATCACCTCGTGCTCTTGGAAATAACAACAACGACCGTGATTGGAGGATTTATCAGTGAAAAATCCTACGCAAGCTCTAAATGCATAATTATCAGAATTGTTGTCTACAAACGGAAGTAAACTCTAAAATATGAGTGGCAACAGTTTAAAAAATAAAGATTTTTCAGATGACGTTGAACAAGACACTAGTCACGTGATACAACGGAATGCACCACAAACTAATTAAATAAACATAAAAATCTGGATACTTTTTAGTGAGATCTAAGCATATTTTATCACTTTTAACCAGTTTAGAAATAGCTGAAATTCTTTTTCAGCCTATTTTTAGAAATTTCTCCAATGAGACAGAAAAAAAAAGGAAAAGAAAGAGAAATTCACCTTACAAATATTAGAAAGCACTCTTTACTTTCCCAATAGATGGGTACATTCAGAACTAGAATTAAGAGGAGACTCTTGACTGTTTCGTTTTCAATGTTTATATTTACCTCATATCGAGGCCACAGCTAGGAATGGTGTTGAATCGGTTCCAAGCGTTGGGTCAATTCCCCGGTACAGAGATCTCGGAACCCAAGCCAAACTGTTCTGATGATGCCGTTCGAAAACAATCTGAAAAGCTGAATCGGTTTCAGTGGCGTACCAACCCGGAGGGGGGGGGCAGAGAGAGACGTCACCCGCTCTAAAATTTAAGAGAGGGAGCTAATAATACGATCCGCTCCTCCTGAAATTTAAAAATTTGCAAAAATAAAGTCAAGTAAATTCCGCCTAAAATGACAGTAGAAAAGTTAAGTTTTTGAATTTTTTTTTTCAACTTTGAAGCCCTTTTTCAAATGGAAAACTTCATTTTACTCTTGAACTAATTAAGGGGGTGAATAATGTGCTTTGCTCCTTCTGAAATTTAGACATTCGTGAGAATTAAGTCAAGTTAAAAAGAAAGAAGCATTTTAGGAAAGAAATTTTTTTTTTTAATTTTGAAGTTATTTTTGAAATTGAAAACCTCATTTTCTTCTGAAATTTAATTGAGGGGGCAAATGTGCTTCACCCCTTCTGAAATTTATATATTCGGGAAAATAAAATCAGGTTATTCTGGTAATTTTAGAAAATAAAAACTATTTTTCTTTTCTTTTCTTGAATCTATTTTTCAAAAATAAAACTTTATTTTCTTCTTAAATTTAATTAAAGGGTAACTATGCGTTTCGCCCCTTCTGAAATTTAGACATTCACAAGAATAAAATCTAGTTAAATTAGTAAAATTAGAAATAGAGAAAGAAATTTTTATTCCAATTTTGAGTAAATTTTCTAAGTTAAAAAATTAATTTTCCTCTCAAATTAAAGTAAGGAAGCGAATAATGAGCTTCGCCCTTTTTGAAATTTAGACATTCATAAAAATAAAGTCAAGTTAAATAGGTAATTTCAGAAAAAAACTCTTTTCTTTCAACTTTGAAGTTATTTTTGAAATCGAAAACTTAAATTTACTCTGGAATAATATAGGGGGTAAATAATGTGCTTCGCCTTTTCTTAAATTTAGCATTCGTGAAAATAAAGTCAAGCTAAAAATAAAAAGTTATTTTCAAAAATTAAAATTTTCTCTAGTGTGAAGCTATTTTGATACACTGGTTATCATAAATTAAGGAAAATTCACAAAAATCGCGATAACTCAAGAAATTACACATGGAATTTTATGAAACTTACCCACAATATACAACACATAGTAAGGTATTAAACAACATAAAAAGAAATTATCAGACATTAATAGTAGTATAGAAATTAGCACATGTATAAAATAAACAAATTGGAAGTATCGGTTTGCAATAGAAAAAGTACCTTTAATATGGAATATGATTGCCTCTAGAAGCAATACAGCACAAACAGCGATGTGTGATGCTTTCAATTATGCGGTCTATCAGTTCAATAGGAAGTGAGAGCCATTGCTCTTGTAAAGCAGTTGCAAGCGTGGCAAAGGTCTGAGGGGGCGGATTGATGGCAGATACACGCCTCCCTAGAGCATCCCAAACGTGCTCGATAGGATTCAAGTCCGGGGATCGAGCTGGCCACTCCATGGGAGTAATTGTTTCCTGTTGAAGATAATCATCAACAATGCGAGCTCTGTGTGGTCTTGCATTATCGTCCTGTAACAGGAAGCAATCACCAATTGCCCCGGCATATGGGCGCACATAAGCATCAAGGATGTTGTCTCGATAAACCTGAGCATTCACGGTTCCCCTTGGAAAGACATGGAGGTATGTGCGCCCTCCTAAGGATATGCCTCCCCAAACACAGACACTGCCTCTTCCGTATGCATCTCTTTCACGGATGTTTGATGGATGATAACGGGTCCCAGGTTCTCTCCATATCAAATAACGTCTACTGTCACTTTCTAGACTAAACCTGGACTCATCCGTAAAGAGAACAGGCCTCCATTGATCTGACGTCCAGTGGACATGTTGTCGGGCCCACTGCAAACGGTCTCTCCTATGGCGTGATGTGAGCGGCACGCAAATGGCTGGTCGTCTCGCATACAGACCACCTTCGTGGAGCCTTCTGCGCACAGTTGACGTTGACACCAACCTTCCGGTGGCTGCAGCAAGAGAGGATCTAAGATGTGTCGGAGTAGCGGTTCTATTCCTGCGTGCACTTAATGTCAAATATCGGTCATCGGCACTGGTCGTAACAGTTGGCCGTCCTTGACTGAACCTCCTAGATGCCGAATCTGTGGTTTGAAATTGCCTCCAAAGTCTATGAACCACAGATGGACTCACATTTAGCCATCTGGCCACTTCTGATTGACTCTGCCCTGCCTCTAGTCTCCCGATGGCTCTCCATCGTAGTTCTTCAGGCAAATGATGCCTAGAGGTCATTATTACGAATTGGCTATCTCAGATTTTCAATGTCGCAATCACAGTAAAATTTGTGTGCTTTCTCTCAAACTTGGACTTTTATGCTCCAGGCAGATGACGTAAGCCGAGTGCAGCGCCACTAATTTGCATATTGCAATTTTACTCAGCTACTCTTAGTGGACAACATATGCAAATTTTGCACGGTTTGGCTTACTTTTGAAAGAGTTATCGCTATTTTTGTGATTTTTCCTTAATTTATGATAACCAGTGTATTTTTGAATTTCGTTATTTTTTGTGGATATTTTGACATCTGTGAAAATAAAGTCAAGTTCAAACTCCAAAATTCAGTCAACTTAAAATCCTTACTTAAAGTTGTTTACATTCAGTCAACTATCCATTGCAACTGATGGAGGTAGAAATATGTGTGGTAAAAATAAAGGAGTGACTTTTGTATCAGTGCTGACGTGAAATATCCTCAGTGGTAGACGGATCATGGGTTAGAGTCCCTTTACCCTCAAGCAAACCGTGGGAGGTTCTCGTGGTCGTCCTCTCCATGTAACGCAAATGCTGGTTAGTTCCATCAAAAAGTGCTCTACGAACGCAAATTTCTCTTAATACTTGATCCAGATGTTCCTTTGTCTTCTGGATTGGGTTCAAAATTACATTAGTAGTTGTAAGCCCCCAAAAGAAATTGGGTCGGTTGTTCAACGACGGTTATAAAAAAATATTTACATTAATCAGCTAAATACAGTGAAATAGTTAAAACTCGGATTGCAATCTCTAAAAGTGTGTAACCGTCAGACCAGCAAATTCAAAAAATTGTATGAACCATAAATCAACTATGCACAGAGCGCAAAAAAAAGAAGAAAAAAAATTAAAAAAAAAAAAAAAAAAAAACACGGAAAAAAAANAAAAAAAATTAAAAAAAAAAAAAAAAGAAAACACGGATTACTTTGAATAACTTTTGATCTAATGATCGGATCTTCTCTTTCTAGTACTCATTCTTAATGGTTTGTGGAAGTGACGTCAAACATCCTAACAGTAGGTGCAGATGACATTCTAAGTTATGAAATCAGACACAAAAACGCACTTTTTCTGAACAAACATACCGTTTTTTTCAATGGATTCGGATTTCTGACCCCCTTCCCACAAAAAAATAGGGGGGAGCCGCAGTCTGGAAAATATGGTCACAATAGTTTGGTCAAGAGAGCGCTTCAAAGCTTGAACCCCTTAATGTTCATTTTACTTTTTACGTATTTCGCTATATCTCGAGAACTTTTGAAGCGAATTGAAAAATTTTTGTACACAATTATGAAATTCATTTATCCAAAGACAATCCTATACAAAACTTTTAGCAAAGATTTATTATTTTATTTAATAATGGTCAGAAGAATTTTGAATTTTAAGGTATAGAATTCTTTACATAATTTTGAAGAACAAAATTTGAGCAAAAATTGTTGAATATGAAGAAACCGAAGAAAGAATTTAAAGAATGAGAAATCGAATTTTAAATATCTCACTTTCTTAAATTTAATGTCAAAGGATATATTCAACCGATTTTGCTCTAATTTCGTATTTTATCATGAAAATTATATTCTTTTAGATGATGCAAAAATTTGTATACTTTACAATTTAAAATTTTTTTGACCTACAATATATTAATTCGGTTAAAAATTTCTCAAGATATAACGAAATACGTAAAAAGTAAAATTAACATTAAGGGGTCCAAACTATGGAGAGCTCTCTTGATCAAACCATGGGGACCATATTCTTCAGATTGCGGCAAACCCCATATCTTGGGGCTCAAAAATCAGAATCCGTCGAAAAAAAGGTATGTTTATTCACAGAGAGTACGTTTTTGTGACTGGTTTCGTAACTTAAAATATCGTCGGCACTTATTAATTAGCATATTTGAAGTCTCCCCCTTGAGCCATAAAGATTGAGCCCTAAAAAGTGAGGATACCATTATTGGATCAAAAGATATACAGGGTGGTTCGTTTATTTTTTTGCGCACTGTATATAACATGCAACATACAGATCTAAAAATTTATAACGTTTTAAAACATCAAATATTTTTTGATGTTTAATTCTACATATTAAGTGTATTAACTATGTAGTGAAAACAAATATGAAACTTTTAAAAATTAGCTGTAGTTAATATAGTTTTTTCCATATTTTGAGCACTGC